GAAGGACAATATTCTATCACAGACTTTAAGGTAGAATGTAGACTCCTGGGCCTGGCGAGATGTCTTGTCTTCCTGTTCTAGCAAATGACGTGAGTTCAGTTCCCGCACCCACTTCAGATGGCTCACAACTACCACAACTACCTGTAGATGCAGCTCCAGGAGAGCCAGCATCCTCCTCTGGCCTGCACAGACTTCCTCCAACAAAAGCCACACCTACTCCAGCAAGGCCACGCCTTCTAATAGTGCCGCTCTTTATGGACCTATGGGGGCCATTTTTATTCAAACCACAACACATATAAAAACATAAACATGCCTGTTTAAAAAGTGTAGAATCCTTAGCATAGTATGTGACTGGACATCTGCCTATTCTGTTTGCATTAAAGTTGTACTAAGCTGTTTAAATCTCCCTAGCAGACATCTTGGGATTTTGTTGCTTTATTTTTTTACTTAAGAGTGTCCTTGAACCTTACTTCCTGTCCTTGTTAAGTTAATTACACTTTTTGACTTCCAGCTCTACTGTCTTCTCCCCAGGGGGTAGCCTTCTTTCCTGAGTCTAGGGCTAAATTAAGTATCTGTTGCTTTGTGCTGCCGCAGCACCCTGGGCAGACATTTCCTAGATACTCGTCAATGGCAGTCAGACAACCAAGCGTCCTGGCTTACGTCTGCATAAATCTAATCCCCCTTTAACTTGTTCATGTCATGAAACTGCGAACACCTTGACAGTTCAGATTGATTATATGCTCGTTAGGTTTTTAAGACTATTTCTTCAACTACATTAGGATGACTTCGGTGCCTAGCTACAGTGTTCATTGTAACCAAGTTGTTTAAATATTATTNCATGTTTATGTTTTTATATGTGTTGTGGTTTGAATAAAAATGGCCCCCATAGGTCCATAAAGAGCGGCACTATTAGAAGGCGTGGCCTTGCTGGAGTAGGTGTGGCTTTTATATGAAGAAGTCTGTGCAGGCCAGAGGAGGATGCTGGCTCTCCTGGAGCTGCATCTACAGTTGTGGTAGTTGTGAGCCATCTGAAGTGGGTGCGGGAACTGAACTCACGTCGTTTGCAAGAACAGGAAGACAAGACATCTCGCCAGGCTCAAGAGTCTACATTTTACCTTAAAGTATGTATGTATGTATGTATATGTGTGTGTGTGTGTGTGTGTGTGTGTGTGTGTGTGTAATGTGCATTCTGCCCTATTTCAGTTGCACACGATTTCCTTACTTGGCTTTATCTTTTATACACACACACACACATACACACCACTGAAGGTCTTCTAATATGCTGGCCAAGTTTGTTGATTATGTTTATAGTCTGCCCTTCACCCATATCATCTGACAAGGCTCTGTTTCATTCATTTGTGTATAGAAAATACCTTTTGAAGTACCTGGCACACAATAGGTGCTCAGTAAATATATATATATATATGGGAAGGTAGGGCAGCATACTATAATATGTATATTAGATTTGCCAAAATAAGAATTCCTCTTTGGGAGCTCTTTTTCTTATTTTTTTTGAGACTGAGTACGAATTCATGACTCTTCCTGCCTCATCCTCCTCAATGCTATTACAGACGTTTGTCTAGACCTAATTCTTTATTCACAAAACGAAAACTTATGGATATCAAAAGGCCATTGCTACTTTTCTTAAGGACACACATATACATAAACCCTTACTGACAACCAACTATTGCTCACATGACAACTTCTCTAACAGAAATATAGAAGGTAAGTTATCGTAGTTTTTAAAAATGTATTTTATGGGCACGAATGTTTTGCCTGCATGTATGAGTGTCTGCCACATGCCCGCCTGGTGCCATCACAGGTCAGAAGAGGGCATCAGATCCCCTGGAACTACTGTTAAGCTGGCTATGAGCTGCCACGTAGTGCAGGAAATCAAACCCTGCAAGAAAAAAAAAAGTGCTTTTAACCACTGAGTCATCTCTCTTGCTCCCACTGTAGTTTCTTTTTGTTTTTGTTGTTGTTGTTGTTTTTTGAGACAGGGTTTCTCTGTGGCTTTGGAGCCTGTCCTGGAACTAGCTCTTGTAGACCAGGCTGCTCTCGAACTCACAGAGATCCGCCTGCCTCTGCCTCCTGAGTGCTGGGATTAAAGGCGTGCGCCACCATCGCCCGGCTCCCACTGTAGTTTCTAAACAGAGAAATTTCTACCAAGTAATTTTTAGAGGGTCTGGAGAAATGGCTCAGTGGTTAGGAGTCTGTCCTGCTTTTGCAGAGGACCTGAGTTCAGGTCCCAGCACTCACACGGCGGCTTACCACCACCTATAGTCCACCCAAGGGAATCAGATGCCCTCTTCTAGCCTCCAAAGGCACGCCCTCACACACAGACACACAGACACATAATTAAAAAATGAATCTCAAAAGAAGTTTGTAGAAATTATTCTTCCTTATTGCATTGTGTACACATATCTGTGAAAGGAGGGTACAGAAGTTAGTGACATCTGCCAAACAGCCATATGCTTCATCTTTTGTTTCCTTTAAAAAGGAAAAACATGTACTTTTCTCTCTTCAAAGTTCATGTATGTAGGGGTCTTAAAGTTACCCCAGAGTGTTGAGACAGTATTGTTCACTCACGTTTTCAGGACATGCTCTTTGTCAGTGTCTAAGACGGTTAGCAATGGTCTTTGCCTCCTGATAGTGTAGGAGCCAGCCATGATAAGCTAAATATGAACAGATCACCCAAAGGAAGTCTTTTACTTCCAACCATTATCACCTGCCAGAGTAGGACTCAGCTATCAGTTAAGTTTAATGGAGGCCTGGATCTCAGTAGCTTACCCTGAAGCAATACCTGGTTGCAGGAAAGACCATAAACTAAGATTACCTAAGCAGCACCTGAGAACAGACCATCCAAAGGAAATGCCTAACATTCCAACTACTGTAGATAGGATCACCTGCCAGCACACACTCACCATGACACCCCTAGACAAATGTCAGCCAATCAGGGGTCTTGAACCTCAGAAACCCCTCACCCCCACCTTTACTACTATAAAAACCCAACCCTAACTTAGCTTGGGGCTCTCCATTTTATTCCAATACGTTGGACATGCAGAGAGACTGAGTTTGCAAACTTGCATAAAATAATTTGCTTTTACATACAGGACTAGGTCTTCTTGTTGGCTTTTGGCGGGGAGTTCATGGATTTGGGCATAGCAATAGTGACTCTACAGTGAATATCTGAATATTCTGCTTGCTGGGATTCATCACTGTACAGAGTCTAACCCAGAAGTGACAAATATGCCTTCCTGAAAGTGTAAGCAATGTAGAATGCTCTCTTCAGCCACCATCAAGCTTTCAGATGACTGCAGCCCCAGTTGACAATCTGCTGCAACTTTGAGAATGTGAACCAGAACTTCACGCCCATATTCCTGACCTGTAGTAAAGTTGCCATAGTAAATGATTACTATTGTTTTAACTATTCCTGATTTGTAATGGAAACAAATACATAAGTCCACTTCCCTTCCTGTTCAGTGTTGGGCATCAACCCCCGAAGACTGCCTGAGTTTCATTCCCAGCCAAAACAGATTTCTTTTAGCAGAAACAAAATTGGACTGTGTAAGTTAAGTTTATTTTATTAAGTTCATACAACAGTAGAGCACAGCTTTTATATAACTAAACCAAATAAAAATTTTCAAGTTAAAAAGTCAAAAACATTGCAAAAATACCCAAAGAAAAAGCAATCTAAGGGGTTGAAGAGATGGCTCAGTGGTTAAGCGCTCTTGCTGCTCTTCCAGAGGACACGACTTCAGATTCCAGCATCCAAATCACGCGGCTCACAACCACCTGAAACTCTAGCTCCAGGAGACAGGTTAGGCCTCCCTGGCCCGGTAAACTCACATAAATGAAAATCAAACAAAAAATCAACAAAACAAAAGTCAATCTTAACATAGTGAGGGACTGAGGGTGTAGCTCTTTGGTAGAGTGCTTGCCTAAAATGGATTAATAAACCCTGGGTTCCATCCCAAAGCATTGCATAAAAACCACAGGTGTTGGCACAGGCTTGTAATCTGTGCACTTTCGAGGTGGAGACTGAAGGATCGACAGTTCAAGGTCATCCTTGGCTGCTAACTCTCAATCAACTAAGGGGGCGGAAGGCGACCGCGGCGCAGTTGCCTGAGACGAAATCGGAAATCGCCGCTCAGTGGCACTATGGGGCTGAGCCAGAAGTGGTTCCAAGGAAGTACGCCCTTTTCCTAACGCCGGCTGGAGGTGGATCTTCTGGAAGCCCTCTGGAAACTCTCACATATTTGGTCTTTGGTCATCTTAAGCTTCCTCAACTTGCGGGAACTTTTCAAAGTCATCGGTAGCCGCAGCTCTTATTCCCCGTCCTTCCGACAGTGATCCTCGTGAGGAGAGTGCGGACGCCAAAGGCCAGGGGCGGCAGCAGCCTCCAGGTCCGGGGTTCTCCTCCGCTCTTGCTGTCCATGGCGAGGCCTGGGGCTTCCTCACCCAGCGTCGCTAACTGGAGGGCAGCCGGGAAGTCCCCGCCGTCCTCTTAAGGAGGTATGTCGCGGGAGCGCGCCCCTATCTCGATCAGCGCTCAGGCGCCATGCAAACCTGCCCTGGCTGGGCAGCTGCTCCTCGAGGCCACGCGCCTGCAGCGCTGCCCACAGCTGAGCCGGTCGGACAACTCCCGCAGAGACGTGCGGGTTCCGTACGCGCAGTGCCCGCCTCCACCACTGGGGGGCACTAGCACGAAGACGGCCGCGCACGTTCCGTGTGCCTCCAAGGGGCAGCGGCCCGGGGAGAGACGCGCGTGCTCTCTGCGCGCTCCGCCTCCGCCAGCGCCCTGCAACTGAGCGCGCGTAGCACCACGGGAAATGTAGTTTCTAGGGCCTGGAATGTCAGACACGCCTCCCGCCTGGGTTCAGCGCGGGACTACAGCTCCCAGCCATTCGGTTGACGGGCGGTGCGGGGACGCGGACTAGAGGGCGGGGCGAGAGCGAGGAGGGCGGAACGGGTGGGAAGGCCGCGCGCGCGGGGGCGGGGCTCCGGCCTCGGAGCCGCTGCCGTTTGCGGTCCGGACCAGAGGCGGGAGCCGAGGACACAGCGCCGAGTGCGGCCTCGGTTGCGGGCGCGGGCTGGAGCGCGGGCGCGAGCCCTGCCGGTGGCGCTCGGTGCTCTTAGGTCCCCTCGCTCTCGGCCGGGACGCGGGAGAGAGCGGCGCGCGGCGGGGGCGCGAGGTGGTGCGGGCGGGGGCGGCCAATGCGAAACTGGCTGGTGCTGCTGTGCCCGTGCGTGCTCGGGGCCGCGCTGCACCTCTGGCACCTCTGGCTGCGCTCCCCGCCGCCCCCCCGCGCCTCCGGGCCCGGTGCGGCAGGTGAGGTGCCGGGACTCGGCGGTCGCGCGCGTGGGAGGCCGGGGGCGGGGGGCAACCGGGCGGGTGCGGACGTCCCGGGACAGGCTGAACAAACGGGTCTTTTCATCCGCGTCGGGCGAACTCGACTGTGCGGTCCTTCTCAGCGTGTGCTTAGGGGCCCACGCCGTGCCCGAGGGGCCTTGGGGGGGGGGGGGGCTTCTCTCCGAGGGGGTCCGCGAGCGCACCGGTGCAGGCTTTGCGCATCAGGACTCACTTTGCAGTGAGGAGGGGACTGGCTTGCACTTTGCGGTCTCTGATCGTGAGGTGAGCCGGTGAAACACATCTAGACGTGAAATAGGGCGCAGCTGTGAGTGGAGTCGTCCCTGCGGTTCTGCTCGGGTAGCTTCCTAGTAAAGGAGCCTGGGAGTACCGGATTCTTTAACTCTCGAGTCCATTTGTTCCCAAACTTCTTCCCTCGTGGGAATGAAAGCTTTGTTCTCATTCGCTCAGCGTTGTCCCATCACCCTGAACACTACCTTAGGGTCTCTTGTGTGTCTTACTCAGGTTTTTCCCAGAGAGCCTGTAGAAGGAGACTTAGATGGCTATTTTAAAGATGGGGCAATGCTTGTTTTAGTTTTTTTTTTTTTTTAACTACGTTAGGATTTATCTTTCCATTTCATATCCAAACAGCTGTTTTCTTTTCAGAAAGTTTAAAAACAGGCCTTCCCAATCAGCGCAGGGCTGATTCTAATAACGCATTTAGCAGTCCTCAAGACTCCTCCAGCTGTTACCAGATTACACTGGAGTTATTTTAGTAATGATCGCTTTTCCTGTTAGATGAACCCCCAGCTTTTGGAAAGGTCATTTGTGTGACTGAAAAGAATTAACCACGTAAGTGGTATAGTGAAAAACACACCATTATGTGTGTGTTTAGCTTGCTAAACAGGTGGGGTTTTTACAAGTTAGATGAGAAAAGTCTCGTGCGTACAAAATACTTTGCAACCTAAACATCTGTTGGGGTTGTGTTTTATGGGTTTCTTTCTCTTTTTCTTTTAAATAAACGAGTGAGTTGCTGGAATCTGCTTGGAGAGCCAGTGTAGAATATATGTGACCCTAACATTAACAGTCTTTGGGGTTCACATAATAAACCTTGCCTTTGAGCTTATATTTTAGTAAGCCTGCAAGCAATTTTTGTGTTTGAAAAAGATTTTTCCTGTCCGTTTAATGTTTGATGTTTAATGCTTTAGAGCTTATCCGTTTAGATTAAACTAGATTAAGGAAGCAAGCTGTAGGAACCCTCAGGGTCATATAGGGTCATTCTAGTTGTAAAAATTAATTTTGTGTTGCTACTGGAGCTTTGTCAGATAACGTTTGACTATAAAGACAGATTCCTTTCCCACTCTCCTCCCTGGCACTTCAAAAACAAACGCAGAAGTATTTTGGTTGCAAAAAATTACCACAGGGTTTTTTTTTTTTCCTATTTTGCTGTTGAAATATTTAAAACATTTGGGCATGTTTATGTTTTGATCCCGTACATTAAGCCTAAAACCTGAGATTTTACTAAGTATCTTCCTCTTGAATTAGCATTTTAGAACTTACTTGTTCTCTTTTCTGCTCCTCTGTAGTTCCATTAAGCCACACTAGTAATTTCTAAAATTTATTTGTGTATGTGTGCACATTGATATGCCACAGAGCTCTCGTAGAAGTCCAAGGATAATTTAAGATCAGTTCTCTTCTTCCACCATGTGGGTTCTGGGAATCAAACTCGGAACATCAGACTTGGGGCAAGTCCTTTGACCTGATAAACTATTTGAAAGCCCAATCATTTTTTTGAAAGGGAAATTTACTTTTTCTGAATATTAGAAAAACCCTTTTGGCTGACAGTTCTTTCAGCAAACAGATAGCTACTGGGCCATCTTTTCTTGTAGGCTGGAATTAGCAAATAATCAAAATAAAGAGCCTGCTCTCCAGATGTTAACCATTTGAAAGGGGAGACAGTAAGACTGTGAGTGTAAATGTCACGGGATGGTGAGGATGCTGAAGGAAAAATGAAGTTTTCTCCAAGAGGGTAAACAGATAGATCAAGGAAGACCACTGTGAAGAGGTGGCAGCTGAGCAAGGACCTGAGGGAAGCGAATGAGTCATCTTAGTACTAAGATTAGCAACTTTTCTATGTAGGGGCTTTAAACAACACTGGTGAGGAGGCCTCTTATGCAATATAGCACACCAGAGGCACAAAGTGCAAAGGAAATATAGGCTTTGGACCAGGGGATATAAACTGACTTGATCTCTGTGTACTGTTGGACATTGCCTTATAGGAATTATGTAGTGGTGAATGTAGAAAGATGTGACCGAGAAAAGGCTTGTCTTTGTAAGATATCTGGAAAGAAGGAAGCCAGACTTGGAAAGAAGAGGCGCTTATGTATGATAAGTACATACTTGGAGAGCTAGGTGTAGGGCTGGATACCTCGTTCCAGCATGTTTGGAGACAGACAGGGCAAGCAGTTCAAAGACAAATTGAGCTTGATGCCCTACTTTTTGCCTAGGGCTGGTTCTTCCAAAATTACCCCTCTATGCTGGATCTCAGGGTTTCAGTTTCCATGTCTATAAACTGGTGATCTATAAAGATTTGTTCAGCAAAACACTCAGAACAGTGCCCAGTCACTGTAAACACTCCAGGAATTCTGGAGAGTATTGGTATTAGGGAGGTGGCTACAGCCTATGCCAGTATGCTTCGTTGACGCTGGCAAGAGCACACTAGTTTTGCAGTGACTATTTCATCAACAGATCTGTGATGGGCTCTTATGTTTTCCTTATTTTCAAGACTTCTGCCTGATTGTGATGGATGGTGTCTAAGAGCATACTCATGAGGGTTTTCTTTGTTTGTTTTAGGACTTTTTAGGCTTATTTATCAGTTTTGAGGTCAATGTCCCTTAAGACTTTAATGTCCACGGTCATTGCAGAGTTTAGCAGGTTGCCAGACTCTCGGGATAGATTACGTATTAATATAAATAGTCATTGCTCTTGGGGCACTTGCTTGGGGTTGTGAGCTATTCCTGTCATTGTGGAGATCTTGTTCCCTGTGGGCCTGTGCCAATTAGCACAGCAGACATAAGAAGTGTTCAGTTCGAATGAGCAAATCAAGAGAATGAAACGGAGAAGATACTAATTTTCTACCTGTATCATCTGTTTACATGCCACGAGCACCTTATAATTTAAATATATTTCCTTCATAAAGGGAAGCAAGTTCTGTGGAGGAAAAGTTGAAATTATTTTTAAATGAAAGGAAAGAAACATGATCTGTATTTCTAGATTATTTTCAATATAATATCTATTTTGAAAACTATTTTAAAAATGTTTTTGATGTTTTGTACACATTCCTTTCAAGCATGTGACCGTGCAGGCTGATATATTTTTACAAGCTGAGCACTCTTCAATCCTGTTAATTTAAAAAAGGAAAACTATGGGGTTGGAAATCTAGTTCAGTTGGTAAAATAAATGCTTTCCTTTTTTATTGTTTTTATTGAGCTATGTTTTTCTCCACTCCCCTTCTTTCCTTCCTCACCCCTCCCCTTCTACCCTCTCCTGTGACCCCCACACTTCCAATTCATTCAGGAGAACTTGTCTTTTTTCTCCTTCCTACGTAGATCTGTTTATGTCTCTCTTAGGGGCCTCTTTGTTGTCTAGGTTCTCTGGGGTTGTGGCCTGTAGGCTGGTTTTTCTTTGTTCTATGTCTAAAAGCCACTTATGAGTGAATACATACCATATTTATCTTTTTGGGTCTGGGTTACCTCACTCGGTATGTTTTTTTTATAGATCCATCCATTTGCCTGCAAATTTCAAGATGTCATTATTTTTTCCCACTGTGTAGTACTCCATTGTATAAATGTACCACATTTTCTTTATCCATTCTTCAGTTGAGGGGCATCCAGGTTGTTTCCAGGTTCTGGCTATTACAAATAATGCTGCTATGAACATAGTTGAGCATATGTCCTTGTGATATGATTGAGTGTCTTTTGGGTATATAGCCAACAGCAATTTTGCTGGGTTTTGAGGTAGATTGTTTCCTAATTTTCTGAGAAATTGCCATGCCGATTTCCAAAGCGGCTGTACAAGTTTTCACTACCACCAGCAATGGAGGAGTGTTCCCCTGACCCCACATCCTTTCCAACATAGGCTGTTATCAGTGTTTTTGATCTTGGTCATTCTTACAGGTGTAAGATGGAATCTCAGAGTTGTTTTGATTTGCATTTCTCTGATGGCTAAAGATAATGAGCATTTTCTTAAGTATCTTTCAGCCATTTTAGATTCCTCTGTTGAGAGTTCTCTGTTTAGGTCTGTACTCCATTTTTTTTTTTAAAAATTGGATTATTTGTTCTTTTGATGTCAGATTTCTTGAGTTCTTTGTATATTTTGGACATCAGTCCTCTGTCCAGTGTGGGGTTAGTGAAGATCTTTTCCCAGTCTGTAGGCTGTTGTTTTGTCTTGTTGACCATGTCCTTTGTTTACAGAAGCTTTTCATTTCCAGGAGGTCCCATTTATTAATTGTTGCTCTCAGTGTCTGTGCTACTGGGGTTATATTTAGGAAGTGGTCTCTGTGCCAATGTGTTCAAATGTACTTCCCAGGTTCACTGTTGTTAGTTTTTATGTGCACCGCCACCACCTGGCTTGTACTTGAGTTTTGTGCATGGCGATAGATGTGGGTCTGTTTTCATTCTTCTACACGTTGATATTCAGTTATGTCAGCATCATTTGTTGAATATGCTTTTTTTTCATTTTATATTTTTAGCTTCTTTGTCTAAAATCAGGTGTTCTTAGGTGTGTGGATTGATATCTGGGTCTTCAGTTCAATTCCATTGGTCCTCCTGTATGGTTTTATGCCAATACCAGGCTATTTTCAGTACTGTAGCTCTGTAGCAGAGTTTGAAGTCTGGGATTGTGATGCCTCCAGAAGTTCTTTTGTTGTACAGGATTGTTTTGACTATCCTGGAGTTTCTGGTTTTCCATATGAAGTTGAGTATTGTTCTTTCGAGGTCTGTGAAAAATTTTGCTGGGATTTTGATGGGCGTTGCTTTGAATCTGTAGATTGGCTTTGGTAAAATTACCATAAAATGCTTGTCTTACAACAAGCATGAGGATCTGAATTAGATCTCAGCCAGGCACAGTGGTGCAGAGTTGTAACCCCAGTACTGAGAAAGGAGAGAGAAGAGGATCCTGGAGCTTACAGGCCACTCAGTCTGGATGGATCAGTGCATAACTATTAGAAGTGAGAGAGCTTGCCTGAGAAAACAAGGTGCACAGACAGCTTCTGAAGAATGAAATGTCAACGAAAGTTCTGTTTTCCTAAAGTGCTGAATATATATTCCAAGTGTGTCCTGTTTTTGTTTTGCTTTGCTGTTGTTGTTTTGAGACAGGTTCTCTTTCTGGACTGTTCAGTAACTCACTATGTAGACCAGGGTGGCCTCAAACTCATAGAGATCCACCTGCCTCTGCCTCCGAGTGCTGAGATTAAAGTCGTGTGCCACCACGTCTGACTGCAGTATACCCTGTAAAAGACTTCCAGGTTGCAGTCCTAGCAGCAGTGAGGCAGACTTGTCTTGAGATCACTGTCAGCATTCTCTTGAAGTACCTATCACTTGGTTTTTACTGTCAGAAGACATTTGTCACTTCAAATGTAAAAAAAAAAATCTAGTGTATAATTATGGAATTCAAGCTTGAGTTCTAGTGAAGTTGGACTTCTTCCCCCGCCCTCCCCTTCCCGGGGTGCCTTCTTCCATGACTTGTCTTTATGTCTTAGCCGCCCGCCCCTTCATGTTTCTGGATACTGGAATCCAAGCTGTTTCCATGCTTGTTCCCTGTAACTGATGAGGACATAAGCTGAAGCTAAGAGGGGAGCTGCGAGCTTGCGTGGCCGGCCACCTGACCTAGGTGCTTAAAGCATCCACCTGAGAAGTTTAGCCTTTCCTATGAGGAGTCTGTTGGGTGGGTTTACGTTGGCAGGTGTAGTGAAAGAACTTGGTTTTCTTTTTCTTAATCTGATTTATCTGGTAGTAGACCTTCTCTAGAAGGCCGAGAAACACTCTTGAGTCTTTGCAAGAAAAAGAGATGCCTTCAGAGTAGAGCAGTTGAAGCAGAAGTGGCTTAGATGGGGATTGGGAGCAGACGTAGAGCTAAGATCAATACTAGTTTACAGCTGACCTGCAGGACTGCCACATGCTAATGGTTGTCTTTGTATGCATTTAGTTTTTTAAAAACATAACCAGAAACCTTTTGTGGTCATCTAGGTGATCACAGAGGACCTAATCTCGGTAAAGACTTACAGTCTAAGCGGAAGCTAGATTGAGTGCCCATAAAGGGATAGGTTTGAGAAAAGTTCATGAAAAGTTTGAGGCCGAGGTTAAATTATGTGCTATGTACTTTATTTCTAAATGATCTCCTTTGACTAGACACCAGAAATAAGGTACTATTTGACACTCAGGGATATTTGAATTATTCTGAAATTTTGTTTTTGTGTAGAAATCTTATTTTTCTGATGTCAGATTAATGAAACACAGGTTAAATATGACTTTTGCCCTTTTTCAGATTTTTAATCTTTTAGAAAGACATTTTAAAAACAGAGGCAGCCGGGTGGTGGTGGCGCACGCCTTTAATCCCAGCACTCGGGAGGCAGAGGCAGGCAGATCTCTGTGAGTTCGAGACCAGCCTGGTCTACAAGAGCTAGTTCCAAAAAAAACACAGAGAAACCCTGTCTCGAAAAAACCAAAATAAATAAATAAATAAATAAATAAATAAATAAATAAATAAATAAATAAATAAAATAAAAACAGAGGCAGTAAAGCTTTTAAAAATTCTGGGATCAAAGGTGTACACTACTACCACCTGGCCAAATATCTCTGTAGAATTGAAAAATGCCTTTTTACAAATATATGTTCTATAATCTATTTTGTAGAAAATAGGGTTAGCTGTATGAAAAATTCTTAACAGTATTAAAATTGTTATAGTGTAATATCTTTCAAATTATTGTCATAAAAGAATCTGCCCCCTAATTATTTTAATTAGTCTTTTTGAAAAAAGGCATCAACATGTTTCTGTTGCAGTTTAGACTGACTACCTAGCACCTACAGCATATAAAAACATTACAATTAGTATAGTGAAGATCCCTGACCCTCAGTAATTTATTCCTAAAAACATTTGAACCAGTTCCCATCACTGGAGACAGGTGAAATGAAATTCTTTTTAGAGCTTTATATAAGCTTGTAGCTCTTAAGCTTAAAAACTAGCAATAAAAAGAAAGACATAGCCTCTCTTCTGTTGTATTTCTAAGGATGAATTTTTCAATTAAAATAGAATCTTACCCGTTAGATCTTACAGCAGTAAAAAGGAGCTGTGTACATAATTTGTTAAAGGACTTTTTTTTTTTTTTACTAAAAATGTTGCTTTTTCTGCTTCAATCTTTAGAACATTTGGTTTGTGCTAAAAGTTTTAGCTGACAGAGAGAGAGAGAGAGAGAGAGAGAGAGAGAGAGAGAGAGAGAGAGAGAGTGTGTGTGTGTGTGTGTGTAGGTGTAGTGATAATGTCTAACATGGAGGTCCTTGACTTAATCTCCAAACTTAATAACTATTACTTAAATATTACTGGCCCTAAACTAGGACCTTTACATACATTGTCTCACTTAATTTTTATATATTTTTTGAGAAACACTGTAGTCATTTTATGTTTAAGAAAAACCAACACTCAAGAAGTTATATAACTTACACTCAGCCAGGTATGGTGTTTATGCCTGTTATACCCGTACCAGGGCAACAAAAGTAATGGAATTGGGCATTTAGAGCCAGTTTTCACCTATGGAGGAGTTGATGCCAGTCTGGATTACATGTTAGAACCCTGTCTCAAAACACAACAACAATGTCTTAGGGTTTTTATTGCTATGAAGAGACACCATGACTAGGGTAACTCTTATGAAGGAAAACATTTAATTGGGGTGGCTTACAGTTCAAAGGTTCAGTCCATTATCATCATGAGGGGACATGGTGATGGAGAAGTAGCTGAGAGTCCTACATCTTGCAGGCGACAGGAAGTGGTCTGAGAATTTGGCAGTGTCTTGAGCATAAATGAGACCTCAGTGCCCACCTCCACAGTAACATACTTCCTCCAAGAAGGCCATACCTACTCCAGCCAAGGCACATGTAATTGTACCAGTCCTTTTGGTTGCCATTCTCATTCAAACCACCACAAGCAACAACAAAAGTTCCCATAGTAAATACGTGAAGGACCCAGGATTCTAACTGACCTAATTGACTTTCTTACTGCCTGCTATATGTTGCTTATGCCATATTGCTTTTCACAGCTGATTCTTATAACAAACTTTTTTTTTTGACAATCTTTCTTATGCTAGCATAGATGTATAGATACATACATATGAGATACCAAAGCCTATATGCCAGTATGTTGTACATATTTCTGGATGCTGAGTTTTGGGTTTTTTAAATTTAAAATGAAATTTTAAATTTTATTTCTATTTATCTGTATGTTTTATAAGCAAAAGCATGTTTTATGTGTAATAAACTTTTTATGATATATGCTAGTTTACTGTAGTTGCGATGTTGTGACTGACTTGCAATATGTATTGCTTATTTATAGGTCAATCAGCCTTATTTCCTCAGTGGAAATTTAGTCATTATGATGTGGTAGTTGGTGTGTTATCAGCTCGAAATAACCATGAACTTCGAAATGTGATAAGAAACACCTGGCTGAAGCATTTGCTGCAGCATCCTACTTTAAGTCAACGGTAGGTTTTCTGAATTACTCTTTGTCTGTGTCAAGAACTGAAAACAAACAAAAAACCCTTAGTTTTAAAAGTCAAATATTGGGACTGGAGAGATGACTTGGTGGTTAAGAGCATTGGCTGTCTTCCTGAGAAGCTAGGTTCAATTCCCAGCAGCTACATGGTGACTCACACCTATCTATAACTCTAGTTCCAGAGGATCTGATTTCCTTTCTGGTCTGTGTGGGCTCTGCACACATGTGGTTCTCAGACAAACATGTAGAGAAAACACTCATACATGTTGAGTGTTGTTTTACTCTTTTGGCTTTTGGGGGGGCCCAACCACCCAGTTCCCAAATAAATCACACAAGGAGGCTTATTTTTAGTTAGGAATGCCCAGCCTTAGCTTGGCTTGTTTCTTGCCAGCTTTTCTTAAATTATTCCCACTACCTTTTGCATCTGGGCTGTTTCCTTTCTTACTTCTGTATTATCTTACTTACACTCTTACCCTGTGACTGGCTGGGTGGCCGGCCGGCCTCTATCATCCTTGTTCTCTTGCTAATGCTGCTCCTTGTCCTCATTTCTCCTGTTTACTCTCTGCCCCTGCCTCGCTATTGGCATTCAGCTCTTTATTAGACCATCAGGTGTTTCAGTGAGGCAAAGAATCACAGCTTCACAGAGTTAAACAAATACAACGTAAATAAAAGTAACACATCTTTGCATCATTAAACAAATGTACCACAGCATACACAAAAGTAACACACCTTAAAATAATATTCCCTAACTCATACATGTAAAATAAATCTTTTTTTTAAAAGGAGACACTGATTTAGAAACATGGCCCTTTTGGGAGAAATGGCTATTTCCTTCTGAATCTTAGAAGTAAGTTTTATCAAGATGTTAAGCCAGAAGGCAATGTTTTCTGGTTGGCATCCTAGATTATTTCAATAACCTCACATTTTCAGTGGTGTAGTATTTTAATGGCATAATGTATGGTGTGCATGGCATGCCATCAGTCTCTCCCACCCACCCTCCTAGAACTGGGCTGTGCACTGCCTCCCCTGCTCATAGGAGTTGGCCCAGCTGGTGTTCAGGAATGGTTATCGTGGAAAGTGAAAGCAAGAAAAACAACATAAACTATGATTTTGCTCTGAGCAGTTGATGGCGAGTTCTCGTTGGGCGTGACAGAAAAGACTACTGGAACTTGAGTTCTGGAAATGGTTCTGCGGCCTTTCCCTGGCTATACAGTCATGTACTAAGTGTGAACATCTCTTAAGACTGTGGTGAAAAACTGAGGGGAGAGGCGTAGGGCTGAGCTACCTAGGATGGGAAGACATGGAGGCTGTAGCAGAAAAAGTTCTCTTGGGGTTGTAGTAAACAGTCATTTGCTTGGTTGAGGTAAATTGCAGTTGGTAATTTTCTTGTCACTGACAGTGAACATGTATAGATTTCCTATCTTCCTCATGGCAGCTTCCATTCCTCTTCCTGGTAGGTTTCCTTAGTACATGACCGCAATAATAAATCCTGCACCTAGCAAGGAAAGGCCTCAGATCCACCTTGAGAGCTTGACCTCCAGTAGTCTTTGCTGTTGTGCCCAGTAAGAACGTGCCACCAACTGCTCAGACCAAAATCATGGTGTTATGTTGTTTCCCTTGCCTTCACTTCCCATGCCAACCAAGCTCATATGTCAGACTTCTCACACCCTTTACCCCTGCCTTCCTTATCTGAATTCTACCTTTTCCTGTCACTTGGATTGTTGCAGAAGTCCCCTGTAGGGATTGCTTGCTTTGTCTTGGTCCTATTCCACATTATATTTTCCATATAGCTACCAGACCAGAATGATCCTCTTAAGATTAGTCCAATTTGTTAATTCTCTATTCATAACCTCCACTGATACTTGTGTGTGTGTGTGTGTGCGTGCTCCTGCCTGTTTCTGTTGTCTTTTCTTTCTCAGAATAAAATCCTATCAGGCATAGATAGGAGGTTAAGGTCATCCTCAGCTGTATACTGAGTTTGATGCTAGTCTTGGCTAATGGCACTTGTCTCTAAATAAATAAATATAGTAAAATAAAAATCCCAAATTATGGTAGTCATTGACCTTGTCTACATCACCTTCTCCTATGTAAGTCAATTTACTGTGTTTTCCTCATGCCCCAGGATTTTTTTTTAATGCATACAAAATAATGTTGATTTGTATTATTATAACATTTTCATAAGTTTGTCATTGTACTTTGCTCATACTTACCCTCATCCTCTCATCCTTCCTGTGATTCCATCCTTTTGCTTTCATGTCACACACACACACACACACACACACCTAGATTCTGCATGTGAGAAAAACGTATGGTGTCGTCTTTCCCATTCCCCATACCCCTCCTCCCCATGTTGACTATTGAGGCTTCCTCTTCAGAGGCCTTGCCCTCGCTTAGACCACCTTTTCATTGAATGTCTTCATGGTAGCCTTCCTTCAGGGCTCCTCTGGTAGATGTTACTTTAGCACACAGTCTCATATTAAATAGCACTCTGCTTCTTTTCTCCCATCTTCCCTTACTCGACTTTATTATTACACACATTACCAACTAACGTGTGTAATACATTTATAAGTTATTCATCATTCCCCACTAGGAAGTAGGCTGTTTGTTTTTTGTTTTCTGTACTGATAGAATTCCAGTATCTACAACCTGTCCTCTCCATGAGTGAGGTACTCAACAATGAAGAGCTCAGAACTAAAAATAATCAGTATAATTTATAGCAGTAATTCATTTGCCTTTGTAGCAGTTATTTAAATGTAGTAAGCTTGTGTTTGTTTTTCTGAAGATAATGGATTGTCTACATAAGAACAGATTGAAGCCCAAAAATAACTTTCTAGGGCGTAATAGTTATATGGATTTAGTAAGGTTATTTAAGATAGCTAAAAAAAAAAAAAGTGGTGAGTGTATGTAATTTAATTACCATATTCACTCATGTCTGTATGTTGTACCTTTATTACAAATGCTAATTATCTACCTAGGTGTTCGGCCCAGCTGCCCAGTAGAAAGAGATGGTGCATTCTGTGGTTATGGCATTCTTTGATAGCTGTGTTTCACCAAAGGAGTCACACTCAGCTTTATTTATGAGGACTGTGTTTGGTTCTAAGCCTCTGTGATAGGCTGTAATTTGTCACTTTAATGCATTTATTGTTCTAAGCAGGTCATGCACAATGTGTGTTAAAACAGAAAGGTGCAGAAGAGCTGGAGTCTAGGGGTCTTGGATATAGAACTAGGTGTAGTTGTGCAGTGTACGATACAGTGGGGATACCTGTAAATTAGCCTGGGATGGGACTAGAGAGCTGGCTCAGCAGTTAGGAATGCTGCTCTTCCAGAGGAACCTGAGTTCTGATCTTTGCACCTTTATCAGGTGCCTTGCAACTACCTGGAATTCCAGCTCCAGGAAATCAACTCCTTCTTCTGGCTGCTGCAGGCACATATAGGTGCCAAGCGCGTGCACACACACAGACAGACAGACAGACAGAATGTGATAAAATTCAGGCCTTTTTTTGAGACAGAGTTTCTCTGCGTAACAGTCCTAGCTGTCCTGGAACTAAGTCTTGTAGACCAGGTTGGCCTCAGACTCACGAACTCACAGAGATCCGCTTGCCTCTGCCTCCCGAGTGCTGGGATTAAAGATGTGCACTGCCACTACCTGGCCAAAAAAAAAAAAATCTTTTTAAAATAGCCTGGGGTGCTTGAGAAACATCAGTCATATGTAACCTGGGGGCTGTTGAAAGTGTTAGAGCAGGGGACACCTAGGAAAGGAGAGAGGGAGAAGACTGTAAGGGAGGGGGAAGGAGGAAAGGCCTGTGGCTGTAAGAGGTCAGCAGGACCTGTTCAGACCAGGACTGCTGAGGAGTGTGACTCCTGAGCAGTGATGTCATCAGAGGATGTGGGAGGCCGACCTGGAGAGCTGTGAAGTCCCCAGTCAAGGTGCTGAGTACTGGACAGGAAGCTCAGCAGAGCATGTGTTTGAGCTCAGGTGCCCACAGGCTCGAGTGTCCTCTGGAAATGGTTATTGAATGGCTCCTAAAAGAGGCTGCTCATATGTATATTTCATAATTTTATTGATAGAATGATGTAGCACATAGTTGATAGGTAATAACATTCATGCAGTACTCTATAAAGTTAGTCAATTCTATTTGGCCAACTAATTCTCATAGAATGCTTCTGTTTTGCCAGGATGTTAGATTCATAACAAACTTATTCTGGAATTAGCAAAGGCATATCGCTCTTAGGTAAATATTTCACGTTAAAGAATAAGACTTAAGGCTGGAGATATGGCTCGTCAAGTACCTACCTTATACTCTTCCAGAGAACCTAGGCTGAGTTCCCAGCACCAGCATGGCAGCTCACAACTGTCTGTGACTCCAGTCCCAAGGGGCCCACTACCCTCTTCCATGTGGCCCATGAGTGGACATACAGGCAAAACACCCCTACACATAAGAAGTAAAATGATCAAAAAAAAAGTTTGAAAGTAAGACTAAAGTGTTTACTAAGATATCTCAGATCTCAGTACTTTATTCTCAATCAATGAAGTCAGTGACTTTGAATCAGGTAATAGTTTTTGGACATTCAAAAAGTACTATTCACACAGTAGCGACTGAACATCTATTATACTTAGTTTTAATTTGCGTTACTAACATGAGGTGGGAGAGTCATCTGTCTATGTGTTAATTTTATTGGTTAATAAAGAAACTGCCTTGGCCCTTTAATAGGACAGAAAATTAGGTAGGCGGAGTAGACAGACAGAATGCTGGGAGAAAGAAGCCGAGTCAGTTAGTCGCCATGATTCTCCCACCCGACACAGACGCAGGTTAAGATCTTTCCTGGTAAGCCACACCTCGTGGGGCTACACAGATTATAATTATTTCGGGTAAAGCTAGCCGTGCAGAGCTTGGCTGGAACGCAGCTCCCTACAACACTAACATTTTCTTATACTTTCAGGATAGACAAACAGTGATACAAAAAGTCTAGTCCTTACTTATATTATTATTTGTTTCTGTGGTTTAAATACTTTCTCCAAGAATAATTTCAAACAGCTACTGTGACATAGCTGGATGTAGAACTATGAAAAGATATATACTGTGTACCATAAATATTCTATCAAACAGATAAAAGGATGGGGAGCTTGAGTATTCCCTTGTTTTAAATATGTTTCTGTAGTTTAATAAAGACTCTACTTAACCATTTACAAAATTCCTGAAAATTTGACAACTAGCTCTCATAAGCCAGCACTTCAGAACTCTGCTACCTGTGGGTATTCTAGATGCCAAAGAACTTGAGGATTGATTACTCCAAGGATGAGTCTACACTAGATATGCTAGCTCAAGAATCATTCTTGTGCCAGTTACAGCCTTAGGAATAAACTAGTGTTTTCAGAGGACAGGGAGTAAGAAGAATGAGCAGACCAAGAAGAGATGAAGGGCAAAATCTTGGGTAACAAGTCACAGGTTACCAGTGACACAAGGTGGGAGCAGCAGGGACCTCCTCTTAGAAATACTAGTCCAGCAAGAGAAAAGGAAACTTCCAAATGCAGTTTCCGAGAAGCTGATAGTAAAGTTAGAGAATAGTCTCAAAGGTCTGAAATGAGCACGAGGAAATGGCTCTATGTGAAATGAATCTATAACTGACGTTAATTCCCCATCTCTCAGTGTGCTTGTGAAGTTCATAATAGGTGCTCGTGGCTGTGAAGTGCCTGTGGAAGACAGGGAGGATCCTTACTCCTGCCGGCTGCTCAACATCACCAACCCAGGTGCGTTGTCCTTCAGGCTGCCATCTATGTTTGCTGTCAAGTAAAAGGTGCTAAAGTTTATGGAAGAGAGTCTATTTTTAACCGACTAAATATTTGTCATCAAAATTTGTATTCCAGCCTTTTTGACAGATGGACTAGTCACTCAGGGAGTCTCTGGGATTTCTTTACTGACAAAGAATTTCATGACTGACCAGTATATTCTTCAGTATGACTTAGTGCATCTAGAGAATTAGATTACTCATAGATGACTGAATTTTGAACTTTTGGAAAATGTTGACTTTACCAATTAATTGATAATAACTATGATATAAATATTGTGAGTTGACTTTGATTTTGAATTACTGCTAAAATCAAGTGTAACTAGATGTTTCTCTCCCACCCACCAGTTTCTGAATAACCACTCAGAAGCTTAATATTAATTATAAATGTTTGGCCAATAACTCAGGCTTATTACTAGCTAGCTCTAACATTTAAATTAACCATTTCTATTAACGTGTTGTCATGTGACCCGTGGCTCACCGGTGCTGTGGCATGTTGTTTCTTGGGTAGATGCTGGTGTCTCCCAGACTCTGCCCTTTTTCACCTGTATCTCTGCTTGGATTTCTCGCCTGTCTCTGTCTTGCCTTGCCATAGGCCAATGCACCTTTATGAACAACACATGTTCATAGTGTGTAAAAGATACTCCACAGCAACCAGGTGATGTGGCACATGCCTGGAATTCCACAATTGGGGAACCAGAAGTGGGAAGATCACTTCTGCTAGGAATCAGCCTGGGTGATATATCAAGAACACGCAAAAAAATAAATAAATAAATAAATAAATAAATAAATAAATAAATAAATATTAAGAGGTTAAAAGTCACAGGCTATTGACTAAGCTTCTGCAAAAGAAACAAGAAAATGTTTGAATTTCTAAAAGTTATTTTATATTCCTTAGAATTAAGTTTGTGATAATCTGGATAAGGATGCAGAAAGCTGATGCTAATGGGCGGGGTTCCATGTTGTCAGGGAGGCTGTTAGTACATTATTAGCATTCCCATGGTGTTCGGCTGCAGTTCTAAAGGAGGCTTTCAAATCTGTCGGGTGTGCTGGTCTGTTTTAAAGTTTATCAGTCTTCACAGTTACATGTATCTCACTTTTTGAGGTGTGATCATATGCAGGGCTGAAAATCTGTGGCTCTAAAGCCAGCTCTGCCATGCTAGCTCTGTGGCCTCCTGAGTCTGCATTTCATCTCTGTAAGCAAGTAATAAAGTGTGTAATTACGCATGCCTTTAATTGCAGCCTTTGGGAGGCAGGAATATTGCCATAAGTTTGAGATCAACGTACCTACAAAATGAGCTCCAGGTCATCCTGATCTTCAGAGTGCTATTTTAAAGAAAGGAAGGAAGGAAGAAAAGAAAGAAAAGTAGTCTCGTGGAGACTAGTATGGGGTGAAGTAAATGATAGAACATTTAGTGTAGGTTCTGGAACTCCATAGATAATTTTATACTAAAGAGCCTGCCTTTTTCATAGATTGGATTTCAGCCCACTTTTTCAATAAATTGAGCATATATTCTAGTCTTTATCATGAAGTTTGTAGAGAAAATTGTACATATATTTGTGTTCTTCTGAGGAGAGGTTCCATTAGCTTTTAGTAGAGAGCATAGGATCATAACCTCACCAGATGTGTTGTTACTAATGTAGCAGCTTACAGAAATCAAAACAGGACAGCCACACACAGAAACGTTACACAGGGCGTGTCTGCCTAGCAGTATGCAGCCATGCAGCCGTGCTCCCGTCCCCAGCACTTGGTACCTGAACTTACCATCTTAATTGCTTATTGATAGTGGAGGGGTAAATGCTCCATTAATAGGACACGTTCATCATTTAATACATAGTTTTTAAAACTGCACTGTTTAATGTAGGCATATCTTATTACCCCCTGAGCATTTGGGTTATTTCAGTATCTAAAGGTCATGAACATTAATCCTGCTGCAGTATGTCTAGAAGGTTTGATTACTGGCTGCTGTCAAAGCAACAAGATTTCCTACTCCAGGTAGCTTGAACTTAAGGTACATTTGTTTAAGGTAAAGAAAGTCTAAGAATGACTTGACCTCCTGTTTTTAATAGACATGCTTCTTTCTGCCTTTTGTCTCCTGAATATACTAAAGAGAAAAACTTGCTGTCATCCAGTCTGGATGCTGACAGTGCTCTCTAGCTCCTGGCAAAAAAATCTGTCCCTTTTTGCCCTCTCCATCTCATGTGTATTAACAAGAAGGAGGCAGCATTTCCTGTTAATCTCCATTTTATTGAAGATCTTTTTACGATACCTTCTAGGGACTAAAGTGAGGGACCTAAATATGTACAAGATAGGGCTATATTCTAGTCTCTGTAAATCAGGGCTGTCTTTCTAAGAATATCAGTGAACTTCGTAAATTCTGTCAAAGCAAAATTTCGTGTTAATTGTGTTATTTTGAGGAGTGGGATCCAGTGGTTTTCAGTGAGCTCTGCAGTGTCAAGAATCAACCCCAGGGCCTTGTGTGTACTGGGCAGGTCAGCTTCACCACTGAATTGGACTCACAGCCCTGATACCAATGTAGAGACTGGCTACAGTCTGTACATGTGCTATATAAGTACATGTGTGTACACACATCGATTTTACCTGGTTGGGTCATCAGCAGGGTTTAAAAACTACAGAGAACTTTGTCTTTAAAGTAGGTTTTGTATTTCTCAAACAATTTTTGACAAATAAGCCATATTATCTAATCTATCCTGATTCTTTTATTGTAATTAGAAAAGTTACTTGAAAAAGGATTATTGGCTGGAGATATTGGCTCTCTGGTATAGTACTTGCTTAACATGAGTGAAGCCCAGGTTCAGTTTCCAGCTCTGGAGAAAAAAAAAAAAAAAGGCAGTTCAGGGAACTGATATAAAAAGAGCTCTTGACTTGTGAGTCATGAAACATGGGTCTGATTCCCGATTGCATCACTTTTTGTGATTTGGGGACGCTTACTCAGTGTCCCTTATGGCTATAGAGTCTTACCTGGTAAGTGACATAACACTCTTCCCAGAAGGGAAGTGGCGTGTGTAGATGTGATGGGCAGTGTAGAGTAGGTGCTCAGAGTCCGCTTGATTTACTTATCTGCCATAAATATTTTATAGAAGTTTCTCAGTGTTGTTCAAAGGGATTTCATTTACTCCTATACCGCAGTGGTTTCCATACATACCATAAACTTTCAAATTGCTTAATAGGAAGTAGCATTTTTAAAACTTGCAGGGAAAGATCAAATTTTCTAATCATTTTTACTATACTAAGTACTTTAATAATGTTTAATAGTGTTTATCCAGGCCTTCCGTATAGATACCTTGCAGTTGACTTACATTAAGTATATGCCTATGGGATGCTGTATGTGTTTGTACATGTGTGTGTGCAGAAGTCTGGATTTTATCTGATGATGTAATACCCTATTCTTGTTGCTTATTTAGTTTTGAATCAAGAAATCGAGGCCTTCAACTTCCCTGAAGATACTTCCTCATCCAGACTCTCTGAAGACCAAGTTGTCAGCGTGAGCTTCCGAGTTCTCTACCCAATCGTGATTACCAGTCTTGGAGTGTTCTATGATGCCAATGATGTTGGTTTTCAGAGGAACATCACAGTCAAGTTGTATCAGGCAGAGCAGGAGGTGTGTATTGGCATGTACAGGATTTTTCCAATTTTTCTTCTTTAGAAACTTTTTCTTGTTGTCCTAAGTAGATTTAAAGACTGAACCTTCTCCATGGTTGGGTGACTTCCATCTTTCTTCCTGTATTGGTTGAAGTTAAATAAGTTGCATTGTAATGCTGGCTTGGGGAGAGATTACCATAGATAGATGAATTATATGTGCAAAAGGAAAAGTTGGACTAGATTAGGAATGCCAAACCAAAATTCCCCATAGCTTCATTAACAAAGGTGTCAGAAACATGAGCTGAAGAGAAGACAGTCTTTTCAAAAATGATGCTGATTGTATGGCCACCTGCAAAAGAATAAAATTAGATCCATATCTTTTACCTTGCACAAAAAGTCAGTTCAAACTGGATCAGAAACCTTAACCACATGGAATCTGATTATATATGAAAGCTTGGCCGATAGCGTAGGCTTGTTTCTAACTAGCTCTTATAACTTAAAGTAACCCATGTCTTTTGATCTGCATCCTTTTATGTGACTTGGTTTCCTTTGCTTTGTAATGCTCATGTTGCTTGCTCTACATCCCTGGTGTCTCCTCCCTTTTGCCCAGCGTTCTCTCTGCCCCCAAAATCCTGCCTGCCTATTGGCTTTTTAGCTTTTTATTAAACCAGTCACAGTGACTCATCTTCACACAGTGTAAAGGAATATTTCATTTATTCAGTGGGAGAGCTAAATGCTACTGTAGGACTAGGGAGATAAGAGGGTAGATAATAAGCCAAAATGAAATATGCATGAAAACACCATATGGAAACCTATTACTTTGTTAACTGATAGTTTTCCTTTCCTTTCTTTTTTTTGATGTCTGTCTGCTTACTCTAAGCCTTGTGGGTTTCTGCCTTGGTAGTATTGTCTTTTCTGTTGACATAGGTTTTTCTTTTATGCCTAGCAACTAGTAACTTCAGATATTCTGAATGATCTATTGTGAGACCTCTCAATACATCGTTCAATGAGAATCCATTTCTCTCTTCATGTTTTGCAGTAGCAAGCAGTTAAGTTGGCTGGAGGATTCTAAACTGTTCTTGCAGTGGACAACAGTTCAAATCCTGCTTGGCTCTTTTTGCTCTTACTTGGGCTGCCTGGGTTCTGCTTCCAATGTGTGTTTCATGGATCAGTCTCAGATTGGGCAGGATTTATGGGAAGAAATTAAAGCTCACCCTTCTTCCCCTCTCCTTCTCCCTTTCCTTTCCTTCCCCCACCTCTGTATGTATGAGTGAGAACTTTCCTTGCTTGTGAGTTTTTGTTGTAACTGTTTTTATCCTGTGTCCTCTGATTTTTTTTAAGTTGGTATAGAATGGTATCTTTAATGAAGAACACTAAGGGAAGATAGAATAGACCCAGTTTCCCTTTTTTCCATGGTTTGATTCTCTTCCACGTTTTACATGTTTGAATTCCAGTTTCATTCACGTCTTTGTTGTTGTTGCTCACTGGTCTGTTTTTGTTTTTGAGGTGGGACAGCCCAGGTTGCCCTTAAACTTGAAATCCTCTTGTCTTAGCCTCCTAAGTGTTGGATTGCAGGTGGGTATCATCGTATCTGGCTTAGATGTTTTTATGTTTTTCCAGGGTTCATCATTGTTATCTATAGATAATAATTGGGCTGCTATTACTAGAAGCTCCTTTTCAATTTTTGTTGACTGGTTGGTTGAAGTTTTGTTGAAGTCAAACAAGGTCAAGCACAGAACTGTAGTGCCAGTGTTCAGGAGTCAGAGGTATAAGGATTTCCACAAGTTCAAGGCCCATCTAGTCAATAAAGCTATTTCCAGGCCAGCCAGGGCGATATAGCTAGATCCTCTTTCCTCTCTCTCTTCCTTCCTATGCCCACTGAGTCCAGTTAGTGCTGATTATGTGAACATGGGCTTGGGGCCATCCGCTGGGGGACCATGGTGGACCGTGGAGAACCTACCAGTGGTCATTCTTCAAAAGAAAAGTGAGTCTCCCTCACAACTATCAACTTCCAGTAGTTCCACAGTTAAAGGTGGAACCTCAGAACCTCCTCCCTGTCCTGTGATAGAATCTTTTTATTATTATTATTTATATTTTATGTGTGAGTACTCTGTATATATACCTGCATGCCAGAAGAGGACATCAGATCCTTTTATAGATGGTTGTGAGCCACCACATGGTTGCTGGGAACTGAACCCAGGTCTTCTGGAAGAGCAATCAGTGCTTTTATCTGCTGAGCCATCTCTTCAGTTCTAGCCCCACCCCCACTCTTGTGATAGACTCTTTAACTGACTTGATCTTGTGCAGGTCTTGTGTCAGTAACCACTGTTGTGAGTTTTGTGTGCAACAGTCATGTCATGTCCGGAGGACAGCGTTTCACAGCATTCTTCCACATGCTCTGGCTCTTCTGCAGTGTTCCTGAGTTGTCTTTCTTTCTGTCCAGGAATGCTGGCATCATCCTCAAACTCCAGCACTAGGGAAGCTGAGCTTGAAGATCATAAGTATAAGGGCAACCATAATCAAATAATTGTCTTAAAAAATAATAAAATGGGGCTGGAGAGATGGCTCATTGGTTAAGAGCACTGAGTGCTCTTCCAGAGTACCTGGGTTCAATTTCCAGTACCCACATGGCAGCTCACAACTGCCTGTAATTCCAGTTCCAGGGAACCCGACATCCATGGCAAAACACCAGTGCACATAGATGGATGGATAGACAGACAGACAGATAGATAAATAGAATTGCTAGCAATGTTAATAAAAGATTAAATGTCTGTTTTGCAATTTGCCCTATTTTTACTCCACCTAAAGAATTTCTGGTTTGTGGACTGGAGAGATGGCTAAATGGTTAAGAGCACTAGCTGCTCTTACCAGAAATCCTGAGTTCAATTTCTAGCACCCACATGGTGGCTCACAACCATCTATAACTGTAGCCCTATCTGATGCCTGTTGCACTCCTCTGGTGTACAAATGTACATGTAGACAAGACATCCATATACATAAATAAATCTTCTTTTAAAAAAAGAATATCTGGTTTGTTAATATGTTGATAGACATAAATTTAAGAGAAAGAAGACACTATAGTCATGATTTCAGTGGGAATTGCTTTATCCAGTTACTGGATTGTAGCAGTCTTATTACTGTGGTAAAAGTTAAAAAAAAAAAAAGATTTTATGGAAGGGCTGCAGTGTAGCTCACTGATAGAGCACTTACCTAGCATTTGCCTGAAAGACATGGGAAAGCACAAAGAAAAACAGTACACGTCCTAAGAGCCGTCCTCTTCTCCTCCCTGTTGTGGTTTGTGTGTTCTCTTCTGAAAGTCCTTTTGAAGGATTCCCATGTATATTGGTTTTCCATAGAGATCTGTGAACTTTCATTTTTTTTCTTGGGTATATATGGGGGGATATTAAATATATAAATATTATTAAATATATATTATATATTAAAATATGTTGGTTCAATTTAGTGAAAACACTCATTTTCTTTAATACATTTCATGCCAAGGTAGGTTTTTAAAGACTGTATAAATATATAATCTTTAAATCATAGTTTATCTTAATAATTTCATTCAGGCCTGGTGGCAGCCTAATCCCAGCTGCTTGGGAAGCTGAGGCAGGAGGATCAAAAGTATCTTAGCAACTTAGCAAGCAAGACACTGTCTTAAAAGAGGGCTATGCCCGCTGCAGGTAGCGCAGTGCTTACCTAGATTGCGAAGGGCTGTCAGCTGGATCCCTAGAGCAGTAAAACAGGTAATCTAGTAATCTAGTGACCATGGCAACAGCACTAGAAAATCTCGATGGGGCAGTAGAGTGGTTACAAGTGCTTGTTATTCTTGCAGAGGATCTGAATTCAGTTTCCAACACCCACATGATGGCTCACAACTGTCTATCTATAAATTCAGTTTTAGGGAATCTGATGCCCTCTCCTGCATTCTGTGTGTACAAGGCATATATGTGGTACATAAACATACATGCAGGTAAAACACCCATGGTGGCCAGGAGGCAGAGGCAGGCGGATCCCCAAGTTCAAGGCCAGCCTGGTCTGTAAGAGCTAGTTCCAGGACAGGCTCCAAAGCTACAGAGGAAAAACCCAACCTCAAAAAACTAAAACAAAAAAAAATAAATAAAAATAAAAACCATAAAATAAGTACATTTAAAAACAAAAAGTAGGGCTGGAGAGATGGCTCAAGTGGTTAAGAGCACTGGCTTCTCTTTCAGAGGACCCAGGTTCAATTCACAGCACCCACATGGCAGCTCACAACTGTCTGTAACTCCAGTTCCAGAGGGTCTGATAGCCTCATACAGACACACATGTCAAAACACCAATGTACATAAAATAAAAATAAATCATAAAAAGTAGATACCTGAAAGTTGTTGAAACCACAGTGAGTGTGATTGGTGGCTGTGTGAATTTACTGACAAAGCTACACAGTGTCTGAAGATCTGTTGCATTTCCATATACAACAGGAAAATTGTCTGTTTCTCCGTCCTTCCCTATCCATCTTGCAGGAGGCCCTTTTCGTCGCTCGATTTAGTCCTCCAAGCTGTGGCATACAGGTGAACAAGCTATGGTACAAGCCTGTGGAGCAGTTCATCTTACCAGAGGTATGACTGGTGTGTGCTTTGTTGTACCACGTCAGCTCTACAGTGTGGAAGCAGCAGCGCCAACAAAGCTTGCACTAAATTTTGCAGTTACACCAAGAGAACTTCTTAGCCATGGTTTTAAAAGTGCCTGTTGCCATGGTTAACTTAAAGTTGAGAACTGTGTGACTGTCTCAGTGACAAAGGGTAGTATTAAGTCTTAGAAACAGTAGGTATTTTGAAAGTTAAATGTTTTACTTATCTAAGGAATCGTAAAAAAAAAAAAGTCTGTCGTGGGATATTTTGATCATACTCTGACACTCCCGAGACTGCCAATAAAGATCACTACTTAAACCTCACTCTTAAGCTTTTCTCAGTGAGGAGCATAATTTCCTCTTCTGTAAGAGAGGAATTATATCAACCTACAGGCAGTTTCTTGGGAATCTTCCCCACTTCCAGGCAGAGGACAGGGTTGTCACCATGGTGGGCAGAGAAGTATCTGCTCTAGCTTAGATCCCTCCTCTCCTCAGCCTGGTGCTACAGCCTGTGAAATGCTTGTGATTCTGAAGGTGTTGTATTGTTGCTGTCCACTTTTCTACTTCAAGACTTCTCTGCTTTTGTGATAATTTGAAGTTCTTTCTGCACCCTAATTTTTGCCAAGTGTTGCTTTTCATTTGTGAGCCTGTGGTGACATGTTGATAGTATTTAAAGATAAAAGCTATTCTGTTTTTATTTCTGATGTTCAATGTATAGCCATGGCTTGGTAAATATTAAATAGTCACGTGTTAGAAACCTACCAGATAAACTTGAGCTTTTTACTTTTTTTCTAAATTTTATAGTAGAAAGAGTTCAATGCAGTTGGCATTCTCAGACTTTGCTAATGACCTTATAAATTAATAAAAAATGGTATTCAAAAGCAATGTGACAGTTTGTACCAAAATAAATGCATAAACACACTTTACATTTTTCAGTAATTTCACCTCTGGGAATTTATTTTACGTGTAGTGGGAAAGAGACATTTATACCAAAACATTCTTATGTTATAGTAGCCATTTGGTCAGCAAACACCTGTAAGTCAAGTGTTAGCCAGCTGGCATGTTACACCACATTAGAAAGAACAGCTCTAAAAGGTGTAGCAACATTAGGAAATTGAGACAGCAGGAACAGCCAGACAGCATCTGCCAACACCATGAACTGTTTTCTATATGTGTCCAGAAGAAATAGCCGAGGATATACATTATCATACTAACAATGAAATATTTAAGTTGTGGCTTAAAAATTAAACTGATGTGTTTCAGGGGGGCGGGGGATGACATTCTTTCTAAAGTTTTACATAAATATTTCCTTAGAACCCAAGTGGCAAGAATAAACAAATTGCTCTATTATTCCGCCCCCCCCACCCCCCAAAGAGCTTTGAAGGTACAATCGTGTGGGAAAGCCAAGATCTCCATGGCCTCTTGTCCCGAAACCTACACAGAGTGACAGTGAATGACGGAGGGGGTGTTCTCAGAGTCATTACAGTAAGCTCTTTTTCATTTCTTTGGGTTGGTTAGAAATATTAACTGTCTTACATGCATTACAAAGTTTGGAATTTACTTTTATCCTAGGCGGTGTCGTACGGGGGTTTTGAATATATACACAGTAGAAAGTGTTGCTGAGCCACTTCACCATAGTGACGCTGAACAGCTGGAGTTGCATGTTCCTGTAACTCCAATATTAATGAATAATGTAGTTTTGCCTTAAGATTGGTATGTTTTAAAGATTGGTTTTTTTGTTTTGTTTTGTTTTGGTTTTGGTTTTTCGAGACAGGGTTTCTCTGTGGCTTTGGAGCCTGTCCTGGAACTAGCTCTGTAGACCAGGCTGGTCTCGAACTCACAGAGATCCGCCTGCCTCTGCCTCCCAAGTGCTGGGATTAAAGGCGTGCGCCACCACCGCCCGGCCAGGTATTTTATTTCTTGATAGATTTTTAGTGAGCATTTTTAGAAACATTTGCTCATAGCTAAGTATAGTAGTTAATACCTGTGTTCTCAGCACTCAGGAGGCTGAAGCAGCAGGATTGCCCTGAACTTGAGACCAGCTGGCTACAGACTAAGAAAGGAAGAAAAAAACCACATCTTCCATAGTTGGCCATCTTACCTTGATAGCAAAATGTTAGTTAAAATACTATCTACCAAAATATTGAGCTGAGCACAGTGTCCTGTACCTGGGGTCCCAACTCCTTTTCAAGCTGAAGCTTTAGCCCAGAGATTGGGGCCAGCCTGGGCATCTTTAAAGTGAGGGAGGGAGAGAGTATTTGCATTTGTTTTATTTTGAAGCAACTCTGGGTGGGGTTTCTGAATCACATTTCTCCTTTAGTCAGATTTTCCTCAGATTTAAAGCAAATCCAAGTTAGGTAAATTTCTCAGACTTGGCGTAGTAAAGGTATAGACAGACTTAGTGAGCAAGAGGCCTGCTGTGGTGGTGGTGCAGACAGCTGCACAGCCCCTGTTGGTACATGTCTGATGACCAGGTAGACACTTGGCATTTCAATATTCAGTAATCTCTTGAATAGTAGCCCTGCTCACATGAAGTAATTTCTGGATTTGAAATGAGTGTTGTGTGATTTATTACTTATTCAGAAAGTATTATTTGCACACCCACTGAAAAGAAGAGACAGTTGTTCCATCACATCCATAGTCAGGGAGAAAATAAGGACTGGCAGGTCCCTCAGAAGGTAAAGGCATGGGATGCCGAGCCTGCTGTCCTCAAATTGTACATACACACCCACAAGTAAATAAGTAAATGTAATTTTAAAATGTTTAAAAGAAAATATATTAAATAAATGGACCCACAAAGTTACATGTTACACACCCTCATCCTTGTTGGCCATGTACAATATTTTATCCATTATTTAGGATAGAGAATTTTATGGAAGGAATCATAACTTTTATTATTTTCAGGACAAATGGCCTTAAATATCATGCCACCTTCCATTTGTGAAACCTAAAAATCCCTAGGCTATATCAAAATTCCATAGACTTTGATTTGTTATGCTAAGAAAATAAGTTTCCTTCTTATTTTAAGTTGAAGATTGCGTTTAAATATAAAGACAAATGATCCACTTGGCCTTGCCCAGCTGGGAACAGATGGTGGTTTAAAGCTTTTCTCTACATGGTCCCTGAATTCTCAAATGCACTAAGATCTTAGCAGATTCACGAGAATTTTTGTAAAAAAGTAATAATTCTTTCATGTTTTTAAAGTGATAAAGTTAGATGTAAACTAAGATGAGTTTTGTGCTGTTGTGGTTGTGTGTATAAGAACATTTATCTTTAAGTTGGAATTTTGAGCACTGGGCCAGAGTCATCTTAATGCTTTAAATCCATGGCATAAGGGGCTGGGGAGGTTTAGTGGTTAAGAGTGCTGGCTGCTTATCTTCATTATTTTGTTGTTGCTGTGATAAGGCAAGACCAAGGCGTCTTATAAAAGGAAGTGTTTAATTTGGGGTTCATAATTCCAAGTGGTCAGAGTCCATGACCACCATGGTGTGGAGCCTGGCAACAGGGCTGGCTTGGTGCTGAAACAGTAGTTGAGAGCTTGCATTTTGATCCATAAGCTCAAGGCAGAGAGCTAACTGGGAACGACTTTGAAATCTCAAAGCCCACCCTAGTAACACACCTCCTACCTAACCCTTTCCAAACAGTCCTACCAATTGAGCGCCAAATATTCAAATATATGAGCCTATGGGTGGGGATGCATTCTTATTCAGTCCACCACACTACTTTCAGAAAACCTATGCTGGGTTCCAGTGCCCTCATAGTGCCTCTAGCCTCATGGTGTGACACTCTCCTCTGACATCCTAAGGCACTCACTTCATGCAGGTTCAGGTGTTGAATATACATACAAAGTATCTATGCACATAAAGTAAGAATAGGGAAATAAAGTAGGCCAGGTGATGGTGGTGCACACCTTTGATCTCAGCACTCAGGAGGCAGAGTCAGGCAGATCTCTATGAGTTTGAGGACAGCCATAATTACACAAAGAAATTCTGTCTTGAAAAAACAGGGAGGGAGGGAGGGAGGGAGGGAGGGAGGGAGGGAGGGAGGGAGAGAGAGAGAGAGAGAGAGAGAGAGAGAGAGAGAGAGAGGAATAAGTAAAATAAATAAAAATCCATGGCATCAGTATCTGCTGTAGGTCAGGCATCCTGGCCATTCAGCTCTGTGTTGTAATACATTAATAGTTAGTCATGAAATACCGGAGCACTTCTGTTCTCATTCCTTTTAGGCTGGGGAAGGGACACTGCCTCATGAATTCATGGAAGGTGTGGAGGGAGTTGCAGGTGGCTTTATCTACACTATTCAGGGTAAGTTGGCTAGTGCAAAAGCAAACTCAATGTAGCTAACTTTGTTTTATAATACATGTTGAAAGGTCATCTTTTCAAGTTAAAAGTTCCTTATCAAGCTGGGTACAAAGTTTTATGCCTGAAATGCTGATGCTTAAGAGACTGCAGAAAAATTATGACTTCAAAAGCCATCCTGGGCTATGTAGCAACCAACACCCCGTCTCCAAAGCAAAGCCCGGAAGCTTACTTTTTAAGGTATTGTATTCTGTTATGCAAGTAAAGCATAGTTGGACTCTTGTTGGTTCTACTTGTTTCCCGGCATAGCAAACTGCTGCAGAGAACATTGTGGTGCCCATGTAGGATGTAGTATCTCTGATGTCCTATCACAAGTGAGCTATAACTCTGCCCCACCTGGAGAGCCAAATGAGCATGTGTTCCACTGCATCCTTGGGGAAGGAATCTGGTAACGTTTTCAAGTTCTAGGTCCTGAGCATGCAGTAGTGTCTTCCTTCAGCAGTCGGCCTTTCCTTTTCAGAAGGAGATGCACTGTTACGAAGCCTTCACTCACGGCCCCAGAGACTCTCAAACCACATACAGGATCTACGAGTGGAAGATGCCTTACTGCAGGAGGAGAGCAGCATCTATGACGACATTGTCTTCGTGGATGTTGTGGATACTTACCGGAATGTTCCTGCAAAATTACTGAACTTCTACAGGTGGTAGGTTGTGTGGATGTTGGGTAGCTAAAATTTGCTTTGTTGTTATTTTGGGTTTTTTTTGGTTTTTTTCTTTTTTTAATTTTTTTTATGATTTATCTTATGTGCATGGTGTGAAGGTGTCAGATCCCCTGGAACTGGAGTTTCAGACAGTTGTGAACTGCCATGTGGGTGCTGGGAATTGAACCCGGGTCCTCTGGAAGAACAGTCAGTGCTCTTAACCGCTGAGCCATCTCTCCAGCCCCCTTTGTTGTTATTTTGATACAGAAACATCAAACCACCGAGATTTTAAAATCATCTGGGGTGTGATCTGTTATATCACAATCCTTTAAAATCAGTTTCTTTTTAATCTTAAGTTTTTTTTTAAAAAAATTACTCATGTGTATGTCTCTGTGTCTGCCTTGTGTGTGTAGGTGCCTTTGCAGGCCAGAAGAAAGCATCAGATCTCTGGGACTGGGGCTACAAGCTGTTCTGAGCTGCCCTACATGGGTACCAGGAACCAAATGTGTGGGACATCTGGAGGAGCAGTACTTAGTCCTGACTGCTAAGCCAACTCTTCAGTACATCTTGGCTCCTTTTTAAGACATCTTCTAATGTGCTATTGCTTTCTTATTTGGATGAACAGACCCACAGTGTGAATGGCATTAAGTGTTCAAAACCAACAAAACAAAAATTAATTCCCTTGGAGTCATTCCTACACACTTTGGATGTCTCAAAGTCGCACTGGATTGTGGTTCTGTGTGCAGGATAAGACACTGAAGGTGCACAGCTGCACAGGCATAGTATATGTCCTTCCGGGGTGGTGCTTACTTGCATATTCCTTTTTTTTGACAACAGGACTGTGGAAACCACTAGCTTCGGTTTGCTGCTGAAGACGGATGATGACTGTTACATAGACTTAGAAGCTGTGTTTAATAGAATTGCTCAGAAGAATCTAAATGGACCTAATTTTTGGTGGGGAAAGTAAGTGAAACATGGACATTGACTTTTGGTATACCTAAGTGTAATTAATTTAGGATGAAATATGCAAGTTATTTTTCCACAAGAAAAATGTTATGAAATTTCTTATTAGTTAAACTATTTTGGATTAGTTTGCTGTCACAATAACCAGAGGTAATTTTTTTTTTCTATTGAAAAATCTCAGCCAGGTAGTAGTGGCGCACGCCTTTAATCCCAGCACTCAGGAGGCAGAGGCAGGTGGGTCTCTGTGAGTTTGAGGCCAGCCTGGGCTACAAGAGCTAGTTCCAGACAGGGCTGTTACACAGAGAAAAAAAAAATCTTAGGCTTATTAGCCAAGAGTCAAAGATGTGCTTTTAGAAGGGCATGGTACCCTGAAGCTGTTGTATGTGTGTGTGTGTGTGTGTTTTTTTTTTTTTTCTTCAAGACAGGGTTTCTCTGTGGCTTTGGAGCCTGTCCTGGAACTCGCTCTGTAGACCAGGCTGGTCTCGAACTCACAGAGATCCGCCTGTCTCTGCCTCCCAAGTGCTGGGATTAAAGGCATGCACCACCATCGCCCGGCTGTTGTATGTTTTTTGTTAGACCATGTATGACACATCTCCATAGCCATTATTTTTGCTACTTTAGGAACACTGCAGGATTAGTAAATTGGTAGGTTTGGTTTCATTTGAATATGTACTGAAACACAGGGTGGGCTTCTCTTAGCTTTCATTAAGAAACTGAGAGCTTACCTAACTAATCTATATAAAGTACCATTGGGTAAATAGCTCCTTTCCTTAGATGCAAGAATTCTCCCCTGCTCTATAAGCTTGTGCCTTTGTAGTGGTCAAAGGAATCTAGTAGAAGGATGTGGCCAGCCATCATCTTTGTAACATCTCAGTTTCAGGTTGAATTGGGCAGTGGACAGAACTGGGAAGTGGCAGGAGCTAGAATACCCCAGCCCAGCCTACCCTGCCTTTGCATGTGGGTCAGGGTACGTGATCTCCAAGGATATCGTTGACTGGCTGGCAGGCAACTCTGGAAGGTTAAAGACCTATCAGGTAATAAGCTCACTCATCCAGTCCAATGTCCTGAGATGTCCTTGTAGAGCCAGCTTACTATGGTTGTCCTTTCTCTGCAGGAACCACTCCTTAAAGGATGTATTCCTGCCATCTATCAGACTCTAGTCATGATGTCTCTATCTTCTTTGAGCCTGTTTTCACAGCTTTTAGTCTTCATTTGCAAAGTGGAAAAATGTAAATACTTCTGACTTGGTTACAGTGTAAGGGACCAAGTGTCCCCTCCTATGAGATCCACGTTACACTTTAGGCTTATTAGTTCACTGTGTGTCCTGTATCCCATCCCTAGTTTGCTCTTGTACATATGGCTTTGTCTTTAAGACATTAAGAAGTTTCCATTTGACCATGAGTAGGGTGAAGATGTCAGCATGGGCATTTGGATGGCAGCCATAGGACCTAAAAGACACCAGGTAAGCAGGTATGAGGGTGCTGGCTTCACTTCTGAGCTTTTGGAGGTGTTCAAGTGAACTTACATACTGTTCATCAACCGTAGGCATAAGAATCAGTGCCTTCTGGCATGCCAGCTATGCTCTTAAGTTACAACACTCTACCTCAAATAATTGTCTAAGCTTAAACCAAAAGGAAATACTGTGAACAGAAATTCCTTATCCACAAAAAAGATTTGATCAGAAATTCCTTAATAGTTTTACAGTTTAGAATCTGTTGACTTAAGTCTGGCCCATGACAGTGAGACCTCTCAACTCCTGACAACAGACTTTAATAGTATTTTATATGTAAGGGAGGGTGGAGTGAGGTGGTGATGATGATGCAGAGATCAAAATTGAAGGTAGGAAACTTGGGGGTGGGAAGGACAGGCTTTTGCCTTATTTGTTGTATTGACTTGTGGACTCTGGCTGTAAAAGGTACAGTGAACAGGACACGCAGTGCCTGCCATTCAATCCTAACACTTCTCACTCACAAAGGAGTACATACCCATTCAGCTCAGCCTGGGTCCTGCTGCTGCATCAGACTCAGCACATCAGAGGCTGCTTGTGGAGCTTGTTGATGTGCTGATCCTTTTTTGTGACCCTGGCCTGTAAGAGCCATACAGAGGATATTCACTTTGCCATGCTCAATGGGGCACTATTATTTTTAAACATTGCACTGCATTGGGCCTTCTGGAACTGAAGAGCTTCTTGGACAGAAAGCTTTGTTCTCTTCCATGTACCCAAGGCACGAGGCCCACTCTGCTGCCACTGGTGAACCCCTCATTCTAGGTGTTTTTAAGAGATAGGGATTACCAGATTCCCTCCAGACACATGCTAGTTCCAGCAGCCTCTACGCCCATTAGAATATCATGGTTTAAAAAGAGTTTCAGGGTTTGTGTTGTCAGATTCCACAGTTCTTCATACGTGTTGTTGCTTGCTGAGCAGTGTGGTACTTGGGACTCAAGTTAGGAGTCTTGGACGGCCTGTTCTTACACAAAGTGGCAGGAAGAATAATTTTGCTCTCATAGCATTTGATACTGAAATGAGGTGATTTACAAAGAGTTGCAAGCATCCTATCAGAATGGCTGCCACTGCTTTATGACCTCTCTAAAAGGGAATATGAAAGTGTTCATCTGTACTCTCTGTACGTTTTACAGAATTTCATGTACTGACTCTTCTGAGAATCTTCATGTAGTGATTTTATTTGACAGTATAATGACTGTGCATATTTATGGGTTAGTTGGCATTAAGTGACTCAATCTTCACACTGTAGTTTCTGGGTTCACAGCCCCAGGACTATAAGGCTGCGGTACTTTCCCCAAATCAGGATCCATCCCACTCACAAATCTCTGGTAGAGTACACTGAAGTGTCACACACCTATCGTTTCTTGATTCTGTCTTGTATTTTGTTTCTCAACAGGACAGCCTGTGGCTGTGTGAGAAAACCTGTGAGACAGGAATGCTGTCTTCTCCTCAGTATTCACCACAAGAGCTGAGCAGACTGTGGGAACTGAAGGAGCTGTGTGGGGATCCTTGTCAGTGTGAAGCAAAAGTACAGTGATCCACAAAGACCAGGGGACTGTAAGTCTGAGGAGACCCTGTGGCTGATATTGAGCTATAAGTAGTATATGATATTACCAGTGTTTGCACAGATCTTAATGAATCATCTGATATTGTAGCATAAGTTTTTATTTATAAATTGGAAGATTATTTAATACCAAATTATTTTATAAAAAAATATTTGTAACTCCTAATCACTGTTACTAATCAGTAATTATTTCATCATTACCACTTTTGGTTAAACCTGGCCAAATTCAGAAAGTTGTAATAATGCCATTTGAATATCAATCATGATTATAAAATAGCTCTGCATAGTTCAATTAGGACAGTAAGAACGTAGAACGTACAAAGATGCTGTGTGGTGCTGGGGCCACATATACCAAAGTCTGGGTTGCTGGAAATACCAGTTTGTGGCTCTCTGACGTGGGCAAACTGGCCTTGAAAAGGAAATACTGTAATCTGAAGTTTGGGGTCTTGCTTTTAAAAATGTTCATTTACATATGTATCATCCTTTCTCTTACCATTCAATGTATATCCTGAATGTCTCACCTTAGCACTCACTAAACACCTCAGGGTTCAGTGTCACAGGGAAGTAGGGAAGGTACTCTGCCTTGCCTCATGTTTACCTAAGCTTGAGGAGGTAGTAATCTGTGGAAGTATAGGTTCAGTGTAGATAAAATGTGGAGAAAAGTACGTCGTACAGAGTAGGAGATACGTTTCCTCAGTTTAAGGGACATTTTTCGAGCGACCAACCAAATCACTGTAGTAAACTTTTTCAAATAGTTAAGTAGCCCACAGCAAATGTTAACGCTATTCAGATTTAGACTACTGTTTCTATTTATATTTACATCTCCACATAATGGAATACAGTAAGCTGTGGAAACAGACGGAGTAGAAAAATCACTAGTAATCAAAACCTTTATTCTATATACAACCAAATGGTCCTTTCCCAACAAAACATTCATCCTTTATGAGGGTGAAGTTTTTGTTTCTGGTATATACAACATTGCAGCCGCTGAACTCTTACGGTTGGATTGTTACCATCGCACTAGTAGACAGTCTCCATTCTCCACAGAATAAAACTGTAATGACTGTAGGTCATCTCCTAGTTCAATTTCTCTGCCGGGCATCTAAAATGAGAACAAAGTGGGGAAGAGTGAGTAGACAGATCTGATGATGCATGTTATACATGCCGCCTCCATTTAAAATCTGTTATGTATGGCTCATGGTACTGTGGAGAAAAAGTACTTAAAAGTTGCTTTAGCAACTTACCTTGGGACTTTCATAGGACAGCAGAATTTCTGAAACAGGAACTTTGAGAAGACGTGACAGCAGTCCCTTTACCTTTTGAATTGTCATGGAATCTATCAAAGAAAAGGAAAATCCATTTCTCTCAAATGAGTGTGTACAACCAGCTCAGCCATGATCTGTCCTTGAGTCACCCAGCCAGTTGATTCTTTGGCAAACTGGGAAATGGAGCCAATGTTTGACCCAAGTAGCCTTGACAACGAAATGTCAAGCATTTACCATTTCTTCCTCATTCTGAGCAACCAGAAATAATCACCCCACCGAGGAGGAAAAATATAGGCCTTGGTGATAACTTCCTAATGGGTTGCTGAAGATCCCATGAGTGGGGCCTTGAGGACACCTCTCAGCCTTATTTTCCCTCTAGGAGAGAGCGTAGACTTCAGTGGTTGATGAGGTCCCTCCCAGCATGAGCATCTGGTCACCGTCAGGATGTGTACAATGACTACCAGGTGTGGGAAGGTAACTTAGCAAAACAAATGCTATGTCTGTTCAGAACACACTAGGAACTTCTTTCCAAAGACAGTGATGAAGAAAATTAGTTTCTCTGAAGCTTTAGCTGAAAGTACAGCAATAGTGTGGTGTCCTACAAATATCACAATGTAGTCAATTATTTTTCTATAAAAATCATTTTTTATAAAAGCTGTGTTTTTATGCAACTTGTGATAATAAATCTTCTCTATTTTAGAATAAAACGAGTCTTTTCCTGTTTGTGACCCTCTTCAACACTCCTACTACCCTGAATGTGCCTGATTAAAACTGCTGTGTCTAGAGGAGTTTACTGCACTGGTAGGCAAATAGGGAAATATATTTACTGGAGTCAGACAGACTCATGTTTCCATTTCTTCAATTGCTCCTGGCTTTAAATCTAACCCGCCAGCACTTAGCTGTGACTCAAGTTTATCTTGAGAATTTATAGAATTGTGTCATGCTAAAAAATTGATTCTTCTAAGTGCAAGTCTAAGGTCAATTATATTATCCAAAAGAATTTATGATTCTAATATTAAGTCAGTTCCAGTAGTACAAATGTTTTTTAAAGGATTTTGAAAAATTTTCTCCCCAAGTTGTTTAAAAACACTAACTTCTCTCCTGATCAGGAAGTCATCTCTAGACAAGCAAAGTGGAAAGAATCAATCTGGGAACTTAAATACATGGGCATGGGAAGTATTCCTTTGAGGGGCTAAGCATTCAAGTCCTCACACCTGTGGCTGGACACTATCGTGGTGACAAATGCCTTTTACTTGGGAGGCAGGTATCTGAGTTCAAGGCCAATAACACAGTAAGACCATGTCTCAAAACAAAAATCCCACATATTTTAATAAAACTGTTTCCAGATAAGCTGAAAGTTTTAGATTAAGCACTAATGAAGGTCTACATAAACTAAAAGTTAACATTCCACCTAGCTTCACCTTAAGCCAGTGCTTCATGGGTACTTGGATAGCAGAGAAGGGCATGCTCTTACCTGGCAACTGCTTTTCTAATACTTTCTGTTCAGGTTTGCTTGAGCACTTTATCTTCAATGCTTTAAGGAAAAAGGTAAAAAGTTAATAACCACCATAGCAGGGATTTACAGTATGCATGTAGAACTGTGATGCAAAATTAATAAAAACTCAGAGAGAAACTGGGGTTCAACCTGAAGATCACAAAAGCAAAACAGCCAGCCACTGGATCTTAGCTCTAACTCAGTTCAAAATGGCGATCCTGCCTCCAGGAATCTCAGAATGAGACTGAGAGCTGTTTCCTCCCATTTTATAATCCTTTCTAAGGCTGGGATTAAAGGCATTCACTGCCTGGTTTGTGTGGCAACTGGGATTAAAGGTGTGTTACCACTGCCTCGTCTGTAAGGCTGACCAGTGGGGCTGTTTTACAGGCAAGCTTTATTTATTAAAATACAAATGAAATGTCACTACAGAACTGGACTGTGCCTCTGAGGTAGAGCGCATACTTTGTATACACAAGACCTCAGTTTCATTACTAGCACCAATAAGTAAAAACGTGCAGCCCAAGAGATTGCCAGATAATGCATCAGTTTGGCACAATAACTTGGCTCAGTCCTTATAAATTAATATTCCCATGAAGCTAGCGTGTGGTGGTACATACCTGTAGTTCCAGGCTATAATCCCACCTTGAAAGGCTTTTGGTAGGATTGTCACAAATTCAAGTCCAGTCTATACAACACATGCCAGCTATGAGACTTTGTCTCAAAACAAAAAATCAAAAAGATATCATGGTCCCAGAACGGGGGAGCTATAGAGGATATTGAGTACAAGGCAGCCTGGGTTTATATGCCAGGATCATGTCTCAAACAGCGGAACCAGCATTCTATCGCCTTTTCTTTCCCTCCACACTACCTCCTGACAGTTCACCGAGGGTTCTGCATGTGGGACACAGCGCAGGATTCGACATTACAGTGTGGTTTACTACTCTGCTCTTACACCTAGAAGGAAGGCTATTTCATAGTCTGAAGCAGGGGACATCAGAATGCCCAACACAAACTGGGTGAGTTGTCTTGAACCCTTTCACTAGGGTTGCCTAAAACCATTAGAAAACAGGTGTTAACATTATAATTCATAACAGTAGCAAAATGACAATTATGAATTAGCAGTAAAAATAATTTTATGGTTGGGGGATCACCACAATATGAATAACTGTATTAAAGGGTTGCAGCATTAGGAAAGTTGAAAGCCACTGACCTAAGAGAAACACACTTCATCCCTATCAAGCAAGCCATCACCATTTGCTGACACCCAAGACCCCAGAACAAAGCAGGTAAGTGAAAGGATTCTTACTTAGCAACTGATTTTTGAGCATGAATGGCTGCTGTGTTTTGAGTTCCTCATCTTCAGGTGCACCATATTCTGTTTAAGAAGAAATAGAAAGGGATGAACAATTAGCTAAAGGCCACAGTAAGGAAACTATGTTAGTGTGAAGAGCCTCTCCCAGGATCTACCCAGCATCACTGATCAATTAGTTTGGGATTAGCCTCCTCCTGCAGAGCTGCTTGTTGGGTGGTTAGGAGAGCTAAACAAGAGCCATTCCTGCCTGGCGCTGGTGGTGCACACCTTTAATCCCAGCACCGGGGAGGCAGAGGCAGGCGGATCTCTGCAAGTTTGAGGCCAGCCTGGTCTACAAGAGATACTTCCAGGACAGGCTCCAAACCTACAGAGAAACACACGCACACACAGACACACACCACAATAGCCATTCCCAAAGATCACCTCTATGGTTGTATGTTCCATGCTTGTTCTAATAATAGTCTGACTAAGCTTCCCATGCTTTCAAAACCTCTGAACTTTTAACTTGGTTTCAGTTTTGAAAACACCCTTTCATTCAGGGTCCTGAGAAAAACAAGGTATGATCTGGAAAGAAGTCATAGAACCCCATCAGGTTTTAGCCAGTCAACAGTTTAGTGTCCTGCTGCAGACCAATTCCTGCACCTGCAACATAGGCAGTGGCTTCCCTTATCTGTGGGGACACATCCTAGGACCTCAGTGGATACCTGAACCTGAGTAGCCTTAGATAGATCTTATTTCAATGTCTTTAAGTAACATGTACCTATGATCATAAATTAGACACTGTAGGATGCTAAGAACCACACCAGTAAGCTGTGACGGAAGTTATATGAACCTGCGCTTTCAGGACCTCTTTCTGTACTTTCAAGCTTCAGTAAGTCCATTTCTCAGCTTCTCTTTGTATTTGTATTTTAAGGATCATGTCATGGAATTCATCTGTGTTGGGGGTATTTTCAAGTCAGAACACTTGTCACAAGCACTGACACCTTGGTGGTCTATATGCTGAGCCACTGAATGACTCAGGGCAGGCAACACATAAGGCATGGAATGCTAGGCAGAGGCAGCCATGTACACCACACCGCTTAGAATGGTATGCGGTTAAAACAATCAATTTTTGGTTTCTGGAATTCTTTGTTTTGTTTGGGCTGAGGGTGGACTAAAAGTGGAACTGCAGAAAGGCTGAACTCCTATCCTGCTGCCCTTGGTCAAGTGGTTTGGGTTTCTCTGCATACACTAGGCAGTAAGAATCTGAACTGTATGTACCTGCAGGCTGCTTAGAACCTTCCCTTCCCTACCCTCAAGTGACTCAGAATTTACCTAGATCAGCCAGGAAATTGGGCCAGCTAATGGAGTAATTTGAAAGCAATTCCCACAGGCAGCTTGTCTTCCTGAGATAATGTTCCAGCTGAAGCATTTATGCAGTGAGCTGCTTGCATTGGAAATATATGAAAAGAAAAATGGCCTAAAACTGAACCATGGAATGGTGAAATGATGAGATTAAAACAAAGTGAAAAGTACATTGGGACGTAAGGCCCAATCCTTTGCTTCAAAGCCTGAGGTCCAGCTAGCGTGCTAAAGAACACTAAGTGCCAAACAACATAGGACAAGACCTAAGGGTGGGATATGGGAAAAACAAAAGTTTATGTGTGAACTTGCCGTGCTGGGAGCATTAAAAACACCAGCACTTGAGATGACGTGGAGTACTGCCAACCTTTCCAAAACTGCAGGAACCCATGTTGACACTAGCAATGTACTACTGTCTGTTTTCAACTCGCCGACATGGTGCCAGGAAAGTGCCCACAGTTCCTTCAAAAGGAAACAGATTGGTCTGGAGAGATGGCTCAGCAGTTAAGAGCATTGCCTGCTCTTCCAAAGGTCCTGAGTTCAATTCCCAGCAACCACATGGTGGCTCACAACCATCTGTAATGGGGTCTGGTGCCCTCTTCTGGCCTGCAGGCGTACACACTGACAGAATATTGTATAAATATTTAAAAAACTAAAAAAAAAAAAGGAAACAGCCCCCCAAAGCAGAAAAGAGAAAAGACAAAACACTGAGCCTTCCTGAACTACCATATCAGGGCCCTGTTCCAGCTGGAGTCCCCACGGGCTACCTGGACGTACTGCTGCAGAGAAGCTGGTATCTAGGGTGGGCCAAAAGAAACTCTGCATTTGGCCTGTTTTTGTCTGGATCCGTATGTCCGCCAGCCCTTTTCCATTCATTTCCAAAGGCTTTTTGGTAGTCAAGCTCAGCTCCACGCCTTTCGTCTGGAAGAATCTGTGTTGACGAGAAATAGAAATGTGTCATCTTCCAGTGAGCTGCTCATGTTTTTACCCAGTCTTCCCTCTGGTGCTCATGCACACACAATAAAACTGTTGCCATCTACACTGAAGTAAGTCCCCATACATCCCTGCACTTTTCTTTTCTAACACAACTCACAATTTCCAAACTGGGGATGGTGGTACCTGTCACTTAAAGAGAGCTAATGCAGAACTGCATGGAGTTCAAAGCCAGTGCGGGCCAGAGACTCTTGTCTCAAAACTAAAATTCAAAGTAAATTTTTATTTAAGAAAGACTAGTTATTTATAACCCTGAAAATTTATTTACATCCTTATAACCCTGAAAACTTATTTACATCCCCAAGAACTTGCACATTCTTCACAGAACAGCAAGATGCCTTAATAGTTGATACACTTGCCTTAAAGCCTAATGACCCCTGTTCAGTCCCTGAGATACATATGGTGGAAGGTGAAAACAAACTTCTGATCTTCATATGTGCACTAGTATGCATGACCCTTTTCCTCCAAACAAGTAAATGTAATTTGATTCTTTAAATTCTACCTTTTAAATTTTTTTTTAAAAGATTAACTTTGGATTTTTGTTGCACTTATGTATTGCACCAACATGCTATAGTGTCTGAGGAGGCTAGAAGAGAGCACCCCATCCCTGGGAACTAGAGTTACAGATGCTGTGGATCACTGTGTGGGTCTTCTGCAAGAGCAACAAATGCTCCTAACCACTGAGCCATCTCTCTGGTATTCCACCCTGATAATATTTGCAGGTGCCTGGGTTCATCTCTTGTGTGTGCTATAACAGCTGAAATTTCAGTGTGCCCTAAGCCTCAAAGCCTCACTGTTGGGAGCAACAAGGAGAGAAGAGACGTGCTCTGAGCCTGTGTTCTTTCTGTTTCTTTCCAAGGATACGGGATAAAGTGGCTAACACTACCCCACCTTATCTTAAATGACCACTGTTGTTCAGGCAGCAAAGTAACAATGATTTGGCACTGACCTAAATATAACCTTTTTCCCTCCAAGGACTTGGCAGAGAATCCCAATAAACAAAACGCATCTGGTCATCACTTTGTAATATCCAAATGTAATTTACTGTTAGTTTTTATTACTTATTTTCTAGTCTTAAAAAAAATTAAAACCTAGTGCCATGGCACACCTGTAGTCCTAGCTACTCTAATGGCCGAAGCAGAAAGGATGCTGAGTCCACAAGTTGAGGCCAGTAGAAGCAACAATGACACCTCCTCTCCAGAAAAAAACTAAAGGGTGTAGTTAGGGTCCAAGTACTTACCTCACTTCTGTTTAGGGTCTTCAGCTGACCAATCTTGGCAATGATGATTTCCTTTGCTTTGTTTCCTTCAGTCAAGGGGTTTCTAGTACAGGACAAAGCCTGGAGGCTCTGTAATTTATCTAGCTCATTGATAAATGACCACTGAAGCAACAAAAGGAAAAAGGAAAAGCAACATGTGTCAAGAACACATCTCAGATTACTTGGCCTAGCATATAAAGGTAAAATTGCCTTCCATCTGAGGCACCAGGTGCATTGGACACCAATACCACCCATGTGAACTTAGTGCTGGTCTACATCTATGTAAATAAAAGAACTCTAACCCTGAAAAGTTTCGCTTTGATGAAGCATTATGCTTTTGTTTTAATGTTTTTTAAGGCTTATTTTATGTGTATGGATGTTCTGTCTGCATGCCTGTCTGTACACATGTGTGCAGTGAGCAAGGAGACCAGAGGAGGGCATTGGATCTCCTGGAACTGGAGTTAAACAGTTGTGAGTAGCCATCTGTCTTTTGGGAATTGAACCTGAGTCTGCTGCAAGGGCAGCCAGTGCCCTTAACTACTGAAAGCCATCTCTCCAAACCCTTAGTTTAACTTTTTTGACAGAAGAAACCTTCAAACTTCGTGTGCAAGCGAAGACAAGCAGTATTGTGCCCTGCACACTGAGGCAGTTCTTACGTCTGATATTTTGTTGTCATTGACTACGAGGTACTGCAAAGACGGGAACATGGATGTTTTGCACCCTAGAACAATAAAAATAAAACTGCACAGTAGGAATGAAAGAAATAGCTAACATAGGAAGGAGGGACATTAATATTATTTACCAATTCCAGCATCCGGAAAATGTATAGAAGAAAGCCCAGTGTCAGAAATGAGTAGGTGTTCTAATCTGAAATTAAAATGTTACATTTGATTACACTTTTCCTCCATCTTAGATTTCCATCCTATTATGAAACACAAGGTCCAGAAGGAAGGCTGACACTATGATTTGTTCTTCCACATGCATGCCCCTCTAAGATTATGCATGCCCCTCTAAGATTATGGAGTGCGTCCTGTTCTGTCAGGGGCTAAGTGGGTCTCAAAAGAGGTAGATGGGGGTCTCACTTCCCCAAGATTAACAAATGGAGATGTAGGTGTCACCACCAGGACCAAGTCTGCAGCTACAAATGATCTAGTACCTAGGTCCACATAGTATGTGAGGGACAAATACATTCTCCAGATGAGTTCAAGTTGAAATTTTCCAAGGGACTTGCCCAGTTTAGAAACTATAATTTCTATCTATTCAAAAGGTGCATTTAACATATGACAGTTCATTCACTAAAATGATATGGATTGACTGGTGGTGCGGCACACTCCTTTAATTCCAGCACTCAGGAGGCAGAGACAGGTGGACCTCTGTGAGTTCAAGGCCAGCTTGGGCTACAAAGTGAATTTCAGGACAACCAGAGCTGTTACACAGAGAAGCCCTTGAAAAACTAAACAACAAAAAAGAAAATGATATGAACTTTAACAGGCAAATGTAGGTGGAGGCTGCTCATTCATTCCCAGATGCCCAGACCAGAAATAATCACACAGAAACTATATTATTTGCAATACTATTTGGCCAATAACTTAAACATATTGCTGGCTAGCTCTTATATCTTAAATTAACCCATTTCTATTAGTCTGTGTATCACCATGTGGTTGTAGCCTACCAGTAAGGTTCTATCTGGCGTCCGTCTCCTGCGGTGGCTACATGGCTTCTCCCTGACTCCTCCTACCTCTCCTCCTCTGTCTGCTTGGAATTCCTGCCTTGCCCTATTGTGCTTAGCCACTGGCCAAAACAGCTTTATTCATTAACCAATAAAAGCAACACATAGACAGATTTTAAGGGATTACCTGGGAAGATATGCTATGAGGCACAGCTGACTTTCATCAATGGCTGGGTTAGAGGAAAGGTCTAGTAACCTCATCTTCTGCAGGATGTTCACTGGCCTGTATGGAAAGTACAATTTTCTCAATATGGACTAATCTCTTTTGTTTTCAAAGTTAGAGGCTTAAAATAAATGTACCAAGAGTTAGGGAGGAAGGCAGATGGATTTGCCCCTCCCCCCAAAAAAAACAGGATGCTGTGTTGAAATGTTGGCAAAATCTGGGTCCTTATCCTGCCTTTGATAAAGAAAGATGCATCCACTTGCCTCCATAAATGAAACCATTCTATACAACAGTCTTTACAGTCTGAACCAACTCAAAAATTTCCATCCTTAACTTTCTTTCCCATAGGTATTTAATGATTATCTAAAAAGGGAGATGATAGGCCAGACAGATGGCTCAGTTGGTAAAGGCATTGCCACACTCTAGTACAATAGCAGATATTATCAATTAAAGATCCTTCATTTGCTAGACACAGCTGTCCACACCTGATTTCCCATCACTCAGGTGGTGAAGGCAAGGCTGAAGGTCATACTTGGCACATAACTAGTTTGAGGCCAACTTGGGCTATATGAGACCTTGCCTCAAAACAAACAGGACTAACAAGATGGCTCAGGGAATAACAGTGCTTGCTTCACAAGTCTGGCAACTTGAATTCAATCCTTTGAGCCCACAGTGGAAAGACAGAACCCCAAAGGTTGTCCTTCACCCACATACCCTTGAATTCACACATAAAACATCACATACATATACATGTATACACACACAATTATAAATTAAGAAAAAAATTATCATTTACTTTAAAATTCTTGCAATACTAAAAAATGAACTCAGCAGCTAAAGGGATGGTTCAGTGGTTCAAAGCATTGGCTGCTCTTCCAGAAAATTGAGATTTAATCCCCAGCACCCACATGGCAACTTACACCCTTTTACTTCAGAGTCCTAGAGGACCAGCTATCCTCTTCTGGCCTCCTTGTGCACTGTGTATATGTAGTACATAGATATACATTCAGGCAAACACTCATACAACACATAAACAGTGTGTATCTTAAATTTTTAAATAAAAATTAACCTAAGGCTTTGCACATAGTAGGCGAATGCTCTACCATTAAGCTAAGCTACATCCCTCAGCCCTTGGTTTTTATGAGATAGGGTCCTGCTAAGTTGTATAGGATGGCCCTGTCCCCACCCCCACCCCCCCAAAAAAGGAAAAAAAAAGCACCAGTACTCCAACGAGAATCAGAGAATCCAATACATGTAAGGAAAACTAGGAAATTCTAATACTTAAGTTTGATTGTCTATGAGAATCCAAACTATTTATACAAAGCTAATAAAAATCAAATATTTAATCAAATATTAAATTCAGATGTCTTTGAGTTTCCTTTGGTTTGAGTAACATTTCAGTTGACAATCTAATCTGTAATACAATAAATGAGTAAGGAGTAAGTACTACTATAATTCATGCTTGCAAACCTTCATAAAAGTTAATTCTCAATCTGAGACTTTATTCAGAATAACCGAATAGCAATAGAATCACTGAAGCAAAGCCCATTACCTTTCTGAAATAGAAATACTGTTAGACTTGAGGTAGAGTTCCTCGAGAACTGGCCATGAAGGGGCACAGCGTAGCACCTAGAAAGGAAACTGAACTCAGTGTCTGGCAGCCTCTTCTGGCCATGCTCAGTCACATCACCACGGGAACTCCTGCCTTATGGACAGGTCATGCAAGCTGTACTCAGGCACCAAGTAGTGGTGCGGGAGGATGAAGGGCCATGTTGAAAGACTACTGGTAGACACTTCTGCTACTATTAACCTGGCAGCTGAGTCAGCACCCAGCTCAGGAAGTGTTCAAAGGAGCTGGGAATGCTGATGGACACCCACCCGTCTAGTGGCCTAAGCATAGGACAGGATGTGGTACTCACCTTCTTGGTTCTGATACCACTTGGGCATGTGAAGGCTATGCTGAGCACATAAAACTCTCCCTATCAGTTCTTAGGTCTTTCCCAGTAAGCCTCACTGCCACCCCCATACAACTGCTAAGTGTTTTTCTGCCCCAGGCTTGGTATGCAACAGAAAAGGTAGATTGTCCAAAATCTGAGGCCGAGAAAAAGACAGAAACAGACATACCAAATGCAATATGCCAAGGACACCTGTGGCTACTCCTGAACCAACCATACTAGAACAGTGGGTGACAAGCCTGCATACAGGGAGGTGAGACTCCACTTCATGATCTGTCCTAAGAATATCTGTAGGGAACCTAGGGGAGCCAGCATTATAGCTTTTAAAACTCCACATATTTGGTGCATGCCACTGTGAGCATCCATGTTCAAGACTCCAGAGCAAACAAATGAGCTAAGAGCCAGGGACAGGCTGAGAAAGAAACATAGATTACCAGATCAAAAATCCTATTTCACCAAAGGATTACTTTTCTCTGTGATGAAGTGTAGAACATTCTACTGTTTGGGTAATAGGGTAACTTAAATGAAACCAGTTAGTCTTCAATTCCCTTTTAAAGCAAAACATTATATTCACTTATTAATGTGTAATAAAGCAAATATGATTACCTCAGCCCACGTTACTCCCATTTTATTTAGGACTAAAATCTTCAGATTAGAAAACGCTCCAGCTGAAGTTGGTGAGTCAGAGGGAAACTGTAGTTTATTTTCACTGAGAAGAAAAAAGAAGACATGAAGTACTTATTCCTACACGGCAGACCCAATACTCTGATATCAACAGTCTGGGGTTTAACTTGAAGATTTGAAAGGAGCTCTCTTCAAGGTAGGCAAAGAAGCTTCAGGTTTCCCCCATACATTTGAGGTTGGCTTGGGCTCCCATGCTTCAGAAGAGGAGACATAAGTGTTAAACCCATTTGCTCTATTTGAGGTGCCTTCAAGCTTGACTATCTGTTCCATTTGCACCTGCTTTAGCCTAGTAAAGCTTAACCTGCATATAAAAAGCACTTAGGAATGCAAGAGAAGAAGGGTTGGGGGTGTGTTCAGTGGTAGAGGGCTTGAGAAACACAAAAACCTAGGCTTGGTTCCCAGCACCATCAGAAGGAAGGGAAGGAAGGAGGAATGGACCAGCCTAGTTGAGCCCTTGGAAAGTGAGATTAAACTAATCAACTATTTGGGAAGATATCAGAAATGTAACATTAGTAAACAAAAAAAACTTTATTAAAACTATATTAAACAATGTTTCATTAAACACTGATTCTAAATTTAAAAAAAAAAACCGTGTTGAGCACTAACCCCTCTCCTCCTCTGCTGGGATCACATATACCATAGTCCCTCTTTCACAGTCAGACTTTTAAGTTATGAAGATCTACTCCCTCCCACCTGATAAGGACACAGATATACTCCTTATTCATGCACCTCAAGGGACCATCTGAAGACTGTGCCCTGAAGTGAACCTTTAGCAAAGTCCATAATTTAGGCAAAGCTTCCCGTAAAGTATCTGCCAGCTGTCAGAGAAGGCAGTGTAGAGTCCATACCTGAGATCGAGATCCTCCAGGTTGGTGAGCTGCTCTGCAATAAGAACCACTTCATCCCAAGATGACAACAGGTTTTTGGACAAATTAACAACTCGAATATCTAAGACACATTTTAAGAAAAAGTAATTTCAAAAGACTCCTCAAAGACATAGAATTAGTAGCATTCTAATTCTGAAATGTGGATTTTGTTTTGTTTTTGAGACACAGTTTCTCTGTGCAGCCTTGGCAGTCCTGGAACTCACTCTGTAGAACAGGCTGGCCTAGAACTCAGAGACCCCTGCCTCTCTTGCCACCACTGCCTGCCTGAAGTGGGGATTTTAAACTTCTCACTGTCTAGTCGGAAACTTTTTTCATGAATGCAAATGTTTTTATGTTTTAAATTATGTTAGCCTGGATATAGCTCAGTGGTAGAGTGCTTCTCTATATGCCAAAAGCCCTAAGTACCATTCCTAGCACTGCAAACTAAAACAAAGAAATATTATTACCCTGGTTTATCCAAAACCTAAAATAACTCATTTTCATGTGTCAAAACGTGAGACAAGCAACTATAACCAAAGCAGAACCAAGTGTCATAATCAAACTTCTGCAGGACCAAAAAACAAACAAAAAACCTAGTAACAGATAACAACTGAAATACTGAGCACCACCATCAGGCCCTGCCTTCAGCGCTGCCTTAAAGCCACAAGCATGTATGCCTGTGCACACACCCACCCTTCTCTCCAGAGCACCATCCTAGCGGAGAATACAAGGGTAGCAGCAACACAAGCAAGAAAGAGGCTGAGAACTCAGTCGGCAATGTGGCTTCTTACCTGTGATTCATGACCACAAACTTAGAACAAGGTTCTGGGACCATCACATGCATGATGGCTTAAGGATCAACAGCCATGCTCTCAAGTGTAACATAGTCACAGACCAGCTAATAGAAGATATGTCTATGTGTTGCTATGGTTACCCTACAAACAGTTATCAAGGGCCAAGAAGACAAGTTTAGCAGGGAGACAGTCCTTAAGCTAACACCTCCTGCAAGTCTGAGACTGCTCGTGTCAGAGTGGCAGGTGGGACAGGTAGGAAGGTGCATGGCCATCCAGACAGAACTGAAAACAAAGTCAATGAGCACACTGAGCAGAAAACTGAGGGAATCCGGGAAATAGAACCTGGAAGAATCCTGTGGCATCCTGGACACAGCTGTGATTACAGCGAGGTGCTGAGGTCAGAGTGGAATCAGCCTCCTCCAGCCACCTGGAAAGATGGACAGGTATTCTCAAAATGAGGCATCTAGGTCAGTGGTTCTCAACTATCCTAACACTGTGACTTCAACACAGTTCCTCATGTTGTAGTGACCCCCAACCATAAAATTATTTTCGTTGCTACTTCATAACTATAATTTTTGCTACTGTTATAAATCATAATGTAAATATTTTTGAAGACAGGTTTGCCACAACCCCTAAGTTGAGAACCACTAGGCCTTAGAGACCCAGGCCACATCATAAAGCACCTCCAGGGTTGCTTCAAAGCCTGCTAGTCTGCCAGAAATGGGCACTCCTGGAGAGGCTGGAGCAGAGTACCAGGGTCTGACCTAGGCCCCTGGAAAGTCGCTCTGCTGTAAGGTTGAGCCGAGGACTGTAGGGAGACAAAAGAGACAAGCAGTCCTTAGTCAGGGTCACTACTGCTGCGATAAAAAGCCATGACCAAAAGCAACTTGGGGAGGAAAGGGTTTATGTTTTACATATCCTGAACCACAGACTACTGAGGGATGTCAAAGCAGGAGCTGATGCAGAGGCCATGGAGGGATGCTGCTTACTGGCTTGCTCATGACTTGCTTAGCCTGCTTTCTTACAGAACCCAGGACTACCAGCCCAGGGGTGGACACCACCCACAACGGGCTGGGTCCTTGGCCATCAATCACTAAGAAAATACCCTATAGGCCTTCCTACAGATCAATCTTATGGAGGCATTTTCCCAGCTGAGGCTCCATCCTCTCAGATTACTCTAGCTTGCATCAAGTTGACATAAAATTGGTCAGCACAGCCCCACAGCAGGCTTGGATCCCATCTCAGCATGAGAGCAGGAGGAAATATCAGGCTGAGTACCCCAAGCTGAAAGGAGAGCCAGACAGAAGGAAGTGAGGAAAACAGAGGCAGAGCTGTCCGGGCACATGGGACTGCTGTTTATTGGGTGCAGAAATTATGGTACAAGTAGGCTGGAGAGGTCTCGCTGTGGGACATACTGTTAGAGACAGAAATTAGACAGGAGCAGTGCTAAATGAGCCACTGGGAGAGCCGCAGGGAGAGACAAGAGTAGTGCGGGAAGGAAGAATGTTAAGTTCTAACTATGCCCCAATACAGTCTCCGAGAAGACACACTCTTTGCCGAAAGAAGGAACCTTCCATAAGACACAGAAAGCATTCACCCAGGGAAGAAGAAACCCATTAAGAATAACAGCTGCAGCTGATTTTTTTTTTTTTTTTGAGACAGGCTCTCATGTAGCTCAGGTTGGCCATAACTCACTATGAAGCAGAGAATTACCTTAAATTCAAGATCTCCTGCCTGTGTTTAGTACTAGGATAACAGGCATGCACTGCCACACCCAGCTGCGGAATCACCTTTTCCACAGAAGAAAATCCAAGGCAACTGTCACCTGTACAAAGCAGCACGAGACAATCAACCTGTCAGCCTCCACCCAAAGTCCCATTTGATATATCCCACAATACAAGCAGGAACATTAAACATAAGCCAAGCATAGAGACAAGACAGGTGAGTAATCTCAGTACTAGGAAGGAAGGCTGAGGCAGAGGGGCTGAAGCAATTTCAAGGCCCGCCTGAGCTACACTATACGACACTGTCTAAAAAACACCAAAAAACCCCACAGACATGGAGAGCCTGTTTTATCACTCCAGGGCTCTGGCTGAAAATAAATCAATCTTAGGAGGAAGCAGGTGAGGGACTCCACAGGAGCACAGGGTAGGGAAGAAAGGCAGGAGGAGGCAGTAAACCCAAACCTGCCAACTTGCCACCTGTGCCCAGATGTGTCAGCTCTCTCAGCCTTACTGGACGGCTTTCTTCACAACTGAAAGACAACTGATGAGACCCTGGGCATCCCACATACACAGAGAAATGACCAGAGACCAACACAGCAGAGGAAATGCTAACCAAGTCTGTCCCCGTGCTAGGGGCCACCTATGAATTTCAACTCTCAGAGCTAAGCATGGTAACTCATACTGTAATACCAGCACTTGGGGGAAGCTGAGGTAGGAGAACTTTTGAGTTCAAAGCTACTCTCAGATACATGGTGAGTTCAAGGCCAGCATGAACTACAGATACAGAGTTAGACCCTATCTCAAAAAAAAAAAATTCTCCTCCCCAGCACCAGAAAACTATATTAAAGTATAATAAAAATTTTCACATTCATTGGCTGTACTTGCAGGCAAAACGGTCTGGGAAATGTCCTTAACTGATGTGCATGTCCCAACAAGGGCATGCAACCAATGGTGTCGGGCACAGGCACCAACCAGATCCAAAATCAGGTTTCAGGAATGAAAAGGATACTGGGACAGGCTTCAGCAATTCTTCCTTGTTCACCAGCACAACTCACAGCACACTTCCACAGGGAAATGTCTTTCAGTGCTCTCAGCTGACTGCAGGAAAAACAGTTCATATGTATATGTAAGTCATATACTATCATGTCCACTGGCCCTTTAGAATCTTACACAAGTGCTAGTACCCATCACATAAATTAAGAAGCAGAGTGTTACAAAAAAGGAGAATGAAATGAAGCATCATAGCCATCAGAGGCAGCTGTAGTCATTGCTCCTCTCCAAAACATCCTGCTCTCCCCGATTCCTCAGCAACCTCTCCAGCCACAGTTGCTATGGACTTACTCTTGACTGTAAAACTCCGTGTCTCCAATTACTGTTTTATTGTATACAGATTCTCCTGTGACTTCTTCCCTCTGAAGGAAACTGTGAAGCAGTGGGATTCAGCTCCACTGGTCTGGAACACTTGTTAGTGTTTTACTAGACCCAAATGAAGTTACTAATTCTGCTGACAGTTGGCAGTTCCCCAAAATGCTGAAGTGACACTACTGAGAGCCTCCTGCCCAGTGAGACAGAGCCTCTCCAGGAACGTGTCTGAGGCATTGTGCCTGAGAGCTCTCACTGTGATTCTACATATGCAGGACTTGTGTCTATCAGAAAAGCCAACGTCCTGGAACTCAGAATCCAGAACTGGACTACCAAGCTTCAAGGCCCAGCCCCACCACCTTCCTTGGCACTAGGCAGGTGCCTCAGACGTCACACTGGTAAAATGCTGTTGCGTGTACTTTAATTGTAGCAGCTTTATTCACACATTACCCAAAAGGCAGAAACAGCCCACGTGTCCAGAACAGAAGAACCAAATGTGACGTCACATTTGAGAAGCAGTGTTTGGCCTTAAGAGGGAAGAAATTATGACATCCATAAATGGAGAGACCTTGAAAAGATTACTCTAATCAAAAAGATCAGACAGTTGGACAAATACTGCACAAGGATCCCACCTGGTGATCCCTGAACAGACAAAGCGACAGGTAGAAAGAACAATGGCTGGGAGGAGGAGGAGATAGGGAATTAGTGTTTATAGGGGATGGATTTTAGTTTGGAATGATGGGAATGCTCTAGGGACTGGTTTACATGATGTTTAGAGTTCACACGGCTAAGCCAGTTTACTAGAATTTTTAAAACATAACAAATGACTTAGTGAGTTAGTATTTCTGAAGATCTCAAAATACTTCTTAGCACCAAATGGTTCATTTTCATTAATGTTTGTAAAAATTAACCAAAAACTGACAATGTTGAGGGGTAAACACAAGAGCTAAATGCATGGCAAAGGTGATTATAATCATCAGAAATAGGTTCTAGGGCAGAAGGCTCTCCCATTTGTTCAGCAGGCCCTGAGAGTTTCAGTAATGTTTCATGGTGCCTACATCAAAACAAGTATTTCCCAGTTCCAATTTTGTGTGTGGTTAGGACCAAACAACTTCATGATGACTTAGGTGCTACCAATCTAGAACCCCTGAGTGCATGACTTCCCAGACTCTGAAATCACTCCTTCTGAACACCATTATGCCCATATTCTGCTCGCCATAATCTTCAGGAAGTACTTGCTTTGTATTTATTCTAGATAGGGTTTCGTGTGGCCTAAATTGGCCTTGAATGCCTGATCCTCTGTCTCTACCTTCCAAGTGCTGGGATTATAAACATGTGCCACCATGCCTAGAAATTCCTTGGTCTTTTAACACAGCAACTGTTCATTTCAGTTTCTCAGAAACATGAACTCACTGAAAGGAACTGTTAATGTTATTCACACAGCTGTCAATAACTGCAGACCAGTAGTTTGTACACTGAAAGAAGTCGCTGTCTCTGGGCCAGTGTGTGGTGGTACTTTAATCCCAGTACTTGGTACAAGGAGGCAGGAAGGTCAAGAGCTCAAAGTCAGACCATCTAGATAAGATGACTCAGTGGATAAAAGTACTTGGACCTGAATTCAATCCCTGATACCAATGCCTACAAAAAGCAATAGGTGATGGCTCACATCTGTAACCCTAGCCTTCCTACAATGAGTTAGAAAAAGAGAATCACCAATCTTCAAAAAGTTGTCCTGGCCATACTCTCATACTGTGACAAGTGCATGCCTACTCTCATACATATATCATACACACATACAGATAAAAACTTGAAATTTAAAAAAGCTGGGAGGTGGTGACTCACAACTTTAATCCCAGCACTTTGAAGGCTGAGCAGGTGGATCTCTAAGTTCAAGGTCAGCCTGGTCTCAGAGTGGGTTCCAGGACAGTAAATGCTATACAGAGAAACCCTGTTTCAAAAAAACCAAATCAAACCAACCACAACAAAAAAAGATTTCAAGGCTAGCCATGAGGTCCTTTTCTCAATAATAAAAATAATTAAAAAATTAATCAAGATGCTATTTCCCTCTACAGTTCAAAGTGTGCCATGCTGGGATATTGAGGAACAAGGTCTCTATAGCAGCATCAACCTAAAGCCATCTCCAGAAGAGCCAGGATACATGGGCTCATAATTGTTTGTCATTTTTATTGTTCCTGTCTCTCCACCCACCCCCAGAGCCCTATTTTTAAAACATTTCTCTTATTGATTCCTTGGAAATTTCACATCATGCATTCCAGTCCCACTCATTTCCCAGTCCCCCAGTCCCTCCGTATCTACCCCTCACCCCTGGACATCCCTCCCAGGAGCACACACCCCCACCAGATTCATTTTAAAAAACCACCTCACTCCCCTGTCTTTCCAAAACTTCTTCATTCATCCTAGTGGCATGGGGAGCTGTAATGTGTCATACATACAGTATCCCCTTTTGTCCAATCAGCCTCACCTGAAAAGCGTTCATTGCAACGAGTCATTGGTCTGGTTCAAGGCCCACGGTACAACATCATGTACCCTCACCACCACACCACCCTCACTGACCCTCCTCAGATATCCTGCTGCTGCCCTGAGTCATGGAGAGCCTGTGGTTATTGCTCCAGAGCACCAGTCCTTTGTGCACTCCAGCAGGCCACAGATGGGGGAGAAATTACGGTGGGGCAACCCAGGGCACAGAATGTGGGTCTGAGAGGTAGCTGAGCTGGTCATCTGGGTCACTGGGACTGCCCCCCTCAGGCGAGGGGCAGAGCCAGCTTTCCCACACCTAAAATAAACCACTCAGGATCAGACTCCCGAAGTTTGGACCAACACAGGCTACTTAGTGGTGCTGAACCAAACTGCCTCCTGAAGACCATCATCACTCTGCTGGCCGTGGAGGTCACAGAGACGACCCACCACCCCCAAACAGAGGTCAGAACAACTTTGTAAAGTCAGTTCTCTACTTCCACCCTTCTGTGGGTTCTGGAGCTCAAACTCAGGTCCCTCTAGGCTTACTTGGCATACACCTTTATCCACTGAGTCATCTTGACAGCTCCTCTATTTTTTTTTAAAGATTTTGTCTATGAATGTTTTATCTGCATGTATGTATATGTACCACCTGCATGCCTGGTACCTGTGGAGGGTCAGAAGAGGGCATCAAATCCCCTGGAACTGGAACTATATAGATAGTTGTGAGTTGCTTTGCTATGTGAGTGCTGGCAACTGAACCTGGGTCCTCTGCAAAGGCAGCAGGTGTTCGTAACCACTGAGTCCTCACTTCAGGGCACACTGCACACCTCCCCTTGTAATGTAACAGGATTTCATGTAGCCCAGGCTGGCTTTAAACTGACTGTCTACCCAAGGATGATCACTGAACTTTTCATCCTCCCACCTCCACTTTCCAAATGCTATGGTTACCAGTAAGAATGAACCACCACACTCCGCTAAACTGAGGGTTTTAATTTCCCTGAATAATCAGTGCTTGTGTTCTCCACATCTCAAGACACTGTGAAAAGATGAACCAATGTGGAAGCAAAGTTCCAAGCATCACCACACAATCAAGAACTTTAATCCCAATCTGTTGACTGAAAGTCAGGCTGCCACGTCAGCTCTTACCTCTGCTTCTTTGTGATACTGTCAAAACCAACAGTTTGCACTTGTTTACTTCCAAGTTTTAAGGAACTTGATTTTCCGTCATCATCAGATCCATCTTCTAACACATAACGCTTCTTAAGAGCAGTAAGAAAGTCTACTCCAAAATTAACTTTGTTTGGACGAACAAAGGAGCCTCCTGTTGGGTGCCTGAGAAGGGAAAGAAATTACTATACAAATACCATGAAATACCATGAGCATAGTGACATAAGCTTGTCAATCCCAGATATTTGGGAGGCTGAGGCAGATTCCAGACCAGACAAGAATACATAGTGAGACCCTGTCTTTTTTTTTTTTTTTAAAAAGGAAATACTAGGCCAGCCTGGTCTACAAGAGCTAGTTCCAGGAAAGGCTCCAAAAAGCTTCAGAGAAACCCTGTCTCGAAAAACCAAAAAAAAAAAAAAAAAAGGAAATACTTTACATTGTTGGATATCACTTTGCTATTTAATCAAGAAATATTAATACGGCCAGGCAGTGATGGACATGCCTTTAATTCTAGCACTTGAGAGGCAGAGCACATTGAGCTCAAGGTCAATGTTGTCTACAGAGTAAGATCCAGGACAGCCAAGACTACACAGAGAAGCCCTGTCTTAAGGGGAAAAAAAAAAGAGAGAGAGAGTGGACTGGAGAGATGGCTCAGAGCACTGGAAGCTCTTCCAGAGGTCCTGAGTTCAATTCCCAGGAACTACATGGTGGCTCACAACATCTATAATGAGATCTATGCCCTCTTCTGGCATGCAGGAATACATGTGGGCAGAACACTACATATACAATAAATAAATAAAACTTAAAAAAAGAAACCAAAAAGTAATGTGTATTTTAAAACTATTTTTATTAGATGTATGTTACTGGGGATTGAACTCAAGATCCTACACATAACATTCTACCTATGACATACATCTACAGGGTCTCAGTAAAACACTTACTCATCTGCATGTCTATGTGAGCACATGAGTGCGAGCACGAGTGCCATGGCACATATATGAAGGTCAGAAGATAGTTATCTCCTATATGTGTGTCCTAAGGGATCTAATTCAGGTCATCTGGCTTAGCAGCAAGTGCCTTTACCAGCTGAGTTATTTCACGGGCCCAGACTCGGAATTTTCTATACTCCTGCTTTAGCCTCCAGAACAGATTAAGATAATGTCGTGGCATTATGCCCAGCAGTTACTGTATTTAATTCGCATATTTGCTCTGTTAATACAATACATTTTGTTTTCTATGTTCTTGAGACAGTGTCCCTCTGTAACTCAGGCTGGCCTGAAATTCACTATGTATCTCACGCTAACACTAAACTTGGCCTCTCAAGTGCTGGGATTACAGAAGTGAGCCACTAGACTTAGCTATTTACTACTTTTAACTAATATTTTTATTTTTTTATGTATATGAGCATTTTGCTACCTGCAAGTATGTATGTGCACCACATGTGTGCAGTCACTGCAGAAGAGCCAGAGTCCCCAGAACTGGAGTTACAGGTGGTTGTGAGCCACCATTTGGGTGCTGGGAACTGAACCCTAGAGTCTTCTCCCTCCAGCCCCCCCCCCCGTTTACTACTTTTTAAAGTATATTTTGTGTGTCCCAAAAAGATCCAGAATAGAGAAGATGGGAATTAAAAACCTGACCTAGCATACACTGCAAAAAACTGTAAAATCTAAGGTGGACCTTCAAGGACAAATAAAATTTGGTTTAAAAAAAGCTAAAAAAAAATTAGTTTTTCATAAATAAATGTTGAAAATATTTTTTTTAATGCTGGAGGTAGAAGGAGAGGAAGAAAGAGAGGTAACTCGAATGCTAATTGATTTTAATAATGAAAACTCAAGAGTCAGCTGTCGGGGGTGAAAGTGGAAGGATCAGATAAGGAGAACAGCCAGTCACTAGAATTCTTACCTCTACCAATGCTCAGACCAAAAGGGCAATCCTGTTCTCAGACTGACTGCAACTCTCCTACTTTATATTCCTCTCTTTGCCCAGCCACATCACTTCCCATCTTCACCTCCCTGATGTGGGAGTGTCTTTATCTATCTGTTGCTTTCATTGGTTAATTAATAAAGAAAACTACTTGGCCTGATAGGGCAGAATTTAGATAGGCGGAATAGACTGAACAGAATGCTGGGAGAAAGAAGCCAAGTTAGGTAGACGCCATGTCTCTCCTCTCCAAGCAGTCACCATAACTTTCCTCTCCAAGATGGATGCAGGTTAAGATCCTTTCTGGTAAGCCACCACCTCGTGGTGCTACACAGATTAGTAGAAATGGGCTAATCAAGATGTGAGAATTAGCCAGTATGAGGCTAGAGCTGATGGGCCAAGCAGTGTTTAAAAGAATACAGTTTCCATGTAATTATTTCAGGTAAAGCTAGCTGGGAGCCGAGCTGCCGGAAGCAGCCCACCACTCCTATTACACCTCCCTGGTGCTGGGATTAAAGGTGTGAACCATCATCATCGCCTAGTTCTGTTTCTCTTTTAGACTGGATCAATCTCAAGTAGGGCAGGGTGGCCTTGAGCTCACAGAGATCTGTTTGCCTCTTTCTCAGGAGTTCTGGGATTAAAGGTATGTGAAACCACTGCCTGGCTTCTAGTGACTTACCTCTGCACTCTGATCTTCAGCCAAGCTTTATTTGTTAAAACACAAACAAAATATTACCACAGGAAGAGAGAGAAGAAAAGACAGATTTTGCTGGGCTGGCCAAATGGCTCAGTGTACAGTAAAGAGTTTCTTGTGCCAGCCTAGTAACCTCAGTTCAAATCCCAGGTCCCATGTAAAGCTGGAAAAAGACTGACTCCTTAAAGCCGTCCTCCAACTTCAACACATGCACAGAGGCACAGAAGTCACACACATACAACATATGTACACATAATTTTTAAAATTAAAAAAATCTTAAAATGCTAATGTTTACATGTAAAGTATTAGAATTAGAAATAGGAAATTTCATTTTTCAAACACATCAACCTATATTAAAAAAAAAACTGCAGGCTAGAGAGAAGTCTCAGCAATTAAGAGCATTGGCTGTTCTTCAAGAGGACCAGGGTTCAGTTCCCAGCAATCACCAAGCATGTGATGCTCACAACTGTCTATAATTCCACTTCCAGGGGATTCAACACCTTCATGCAGATACACATGCAGGCAAAACACCAAGGCACATAAAATATAACCAAATAATTGGCAGGCAGTGGTAGTACATGCCTTTAATCCTAGCACTAAGGAAGCAGAGGCAGGTGGATCTCTGTGAGTTCAAGGCCAGCCTGGTCTAGAGTGAGTTCTAAGACAATCAAAGCTACACAGAGAAACCCCGGTCTCGAAAAACCAAAAAATGAATGAATGAATGAATGAATGAATAGTAATAATAATAAATAAAATAAATAATTTTAAAAATAAAAGTTTAAAACTAAGCTAGAATTTTAAGCAACAGTACATTTTGCCAGGTGTGGTGGCACATGTATTCTATTTGAGCATTCAGGAAGCAGAGACAGGTATGTCTCTTTGAGTTCAAGTTAAAGGCTATCCTAATCTACATAGCAAGTTCCCGGTTAACAAAGGCTATATAGAGAGACCTTGTCTGAAAAAAAAAAAAAAGAGAGAGAGAGAAGAGAAGAAAAAAAACGAAAAGAAAATGCATTTAAGATAATGATAGAGAAGAAAAAACTGAAAATCACAAATAGGGTACTGGGAAGACACTCAGTGGATGTGCTTGCTGGGTAACATGAGGTCATGAGTTCAGGCCCCCAGAATGCACATAAAGACTGGTCACTGTTGGGCTGGAGAGATGGCTCAGAGGTTAAGAGCACTGACTGTTCTTCCAGACGTTCTGAGTTCAATTCCCAGCAACCACATGGTGGCTCACAACCATCTGTAATGAGATCTGGTGCCCTCTTCTGGCCTGCAGGGATATGTGCAGGAAGAACCCTGTATACCTACTTAATAAATAAATCTTTAAAAAAAAAAAAAAAGACTGGTCACTGTTGACACATACCTGTAATCCCAGTACAGAAACATGAAGATCCATGGGGCTTACAAGCCTGCTAGTCCAGCCAGTTAGTGAACTCTAACTTTAGCGACTCTGCCTCAAAATACAAGGTGGAAAGCAATAGAGGGAGATACCAGATGCTGACCTCTAGTCTCTGTGTGTATGCACACGCATGAACATTTAGGATAAAAATATATTTGTCATTGTTTTTTCTGAGACTGTTCTACTCCTTAGCCCCGACTGCCTTGAACTCATGATCATCTTGCCTCTGCCTCTGTAGTTTTGAGATTACATGCACTTAGCCTAAATTCACACTTCTTACAGCAATGATAATGAGCTAGTGAAAAGGAGATGTTTATTACTTTTGGTTGCAGGCAGATGAGTAGTGTGGAATTGTGTCAGGAAGCTTCGAAGTGGAGCCTATACCTGTTACAGATCAAAGATCTCAATCTTTGGTGAAACATTCCCAGCAGTTTTATCAAGAAACCAAACATCCCAGTGATAAGGAATACTAGCCAAATGAATGTCCATCAATAATAAATCTCCAGAAGATACACTGATTTTAACAGTGATTTAGACAGAAACCATTGTAATATTGTAAATTTGTCAAGATGGTTCGTGAAACACAAATTCTGAACCAATGAGAAAAATGGAGCAGGATTAAGTACTCTCATCCCATTGGCCCCCAGTGCTCAGAACCTCAGAAAAACCTCACAACTTGGGACATCTAAAAAAAAAAAAAAAAAAAAAAAAAAAAAACTAAAGAAAGGTATAGTGGTCTTTACTCTGAGCACTCAGGAGGCAGAGGCAGATAGATATATCTCTGTGAGTTCATGGCCCACCTGCTCTATAAAGTGTGTTCCAGTCCAAAAAAGAAACCAAGAGCTAGCCAAGGCATGATGATGTACACCTATCATCCCAGAACTTGAGGGGTAGAGGCAGGAGGATCTCAAGTTTAGAAGCAGCCTTAGCTATGCAGCAGGTTAGAAGCCAGCCTATACAACACGACAAAAACAAAAATGGGGGCTGGGGTACAAGGTGGCTCAGTGGGAAGAGTACTGCTGTGCAAACATTAGCATGAGTATCACACCACATAAACCTATAATCCCAATGCTATAACAGGGGTGTGTGGCAGAACGTAGAGGTTCATTTGTTTGTCTGCCAGCCAATCTAGCCAGAATGGTGAGCTCTAGGTTCAATGAGGCAACTGTCTCAAGAAAATCTGGCAGGAAGCAAGACAACACTCCACCTCCTCTGGACTATAGGCAGGGACATGTACCTGTACACACATGATTGTATCCACCTACCTCTGCCTCCTAAGTGCTGGGATTAAAAACATGTACCACCATGCCAGGCTGAAATACCTTTTAAAACTATTTATATCCAACAATGCTTCTTCCTTTCCTTCCCTAATATTCAATGATTAACTATGACCTTGACAATTCATAAAAAATATTTACCTGCATTTAAAATACATAGTGCCTTCATGGCTCCCATCATGCTTTCCTCTCTCGGGATTGTCCCATTCAACTCCTAACCAGAGTCCTAGAGAAACAAAATGAAAAAAAACATGACTGCAAAACATGACAAATGGATACTCTATTCTCCTATAAGCAAACAAAATTAGTAACAGAAGCTACTTCACAAACAAGTAGAATAGGGAATGTCTCAAGAATTTCCTGGAAACTTCACTCAAAGAATGCAACAATAGCATGTATGAACCAAAAAGCCAACAAAAACCCCAACACAGAAAACAAGAACGGCTAAACTATACTGGGTATACTAAGCATAAATGGATCTTTTTTGTTTTGTTTTTTTTGAGACAGGGTTTCTCTGTTTAAACTGTTCTGGCTGTCCTGGAATTCACTCTGTAGACCAGTTTGGCCTCAAACTCACTGAGATGCACCTCCGTTTGCCTCCCAAATGCTGGGATTGAAGGCATGTGCCACCACTGCCTGGTTGCATGGATGAATCCTGAACGCATGATACCACGTGAAGAAAACACCACAGAGGACTAGATATGGCCTACCCTACATAGAGGGTAAAGGGATCTCTCTCTTTAGTATGTTCTCTGGTAATCTCTGAGGATTCTATAAACCTGTAACAGAATGTTAGTAAGAAAATCCTCAAAAGGCTAGGTGTGGTGGTGCAAGCCTGTAATCTAGCACAGGAAGAGGAACTATAAGTTCAAGGCCAGTCTGAACTACACAGTAAATACTGTTTCAAAGAAAAAGATAATAAATCAGGCCAGAGAAATGGCTCAGTGGTTAAAACTACATACAAGTGGCTCTTGCATAAGACCCAGATTCAGTTCTCAGAACCCACATGCAGCTCACAACTGTCTGGAACCCCAGTTCCAGGGGATCTGGCACCCTTTCTGGCTTCTGCAGGCACTGTGTATGTCCGATACACATGCATATAATGTAGGCAACACATACACAATAAAAATCTTTTTAAAAAATTCTCCTATATTTAGAAGTTAAGCAGTGTTATTTTAAATTACTTTTAGTCAAAAAAAGAAATGATAAGGGGCTGGAGAGAGAGATGGCTCAGAGGTTAAGAGCACTGGCTGCATTTCTAAAGGCTCTGAGTTCAATTCCCAGCAACCACATGGTGGCTCACAACCATCCATAATGAGATCCGGTGCCTGCTTCTGGCATGTATGACTGACTATACATGCAGCCAGAATACTGTACACATAATAAATAAACAAATAAATTAATGAGTGAATGAATGAATGATTAAACTTTAAAAGAATCACAAAACAAATTAGAGAAATATTTTGAAAAGGATGGACAGAAGTAACTCAGTAGTTAAAGCAGTCGAGTGGGCATGGATTGATAACTATAAGTCTAGCCTTGAAGGTGAAAAGAAAGCAACTGGCTAGTAGGACTGGTCATACTGGAGCCCTGTGAATGACAGACTCTGCCTTGATGAGTCCCTACACCAACCCTGGGCCTTCACATGCCTGAGGCTAATTTCAAAAGTAACAGACTGATTTCTTTGATGGAGGACAATGCACAGGTACAAGGGCTGTGGCCTCTTCCTCTACAGTTAAGAGAAGCTGCTAAAGTCAGGCACGTGGCAGGTCTTCCAGAGAGGCCCTAAGCAGCGACCATGCACTTTCACCACTGTGAAAGAAAAGCCTGGATTTGTGGTGGAGACCCCAAGATATTGAAGATGCCAGACCCATAGGAGATAACAGCCCGGGAGAGCTGCAGATAGGGACTAGAGCCAGCAAAAGAGAAAGAAGTACATTACAGGTAGCAAAGCCTGAAGGGCAGAGCCATTAAGTCTTTTGACCAAAGACTTGGAGGCACAGTGTTTACAGTATTCCCTAATTATGTATGACTCCATTCCTCCGTTTTGGAATGGGAGTCATATCCTGGTAATATACATTCTGTGCCACTGTATGTTAGAAGTATGTTATCTGCTTTTGGATTTACAGTAGGTTATGATGAAGAGAGTCTCAGAATGACATTTTAGACTTTTAAACAATATTGAGACATAAAGAACAAAGGTAACTTTTGAAGCAGAACTAAATGCATTTTGCATTATTTTATTGCCACTACCCTATGGGGGCTAAGAGGTGAAATGTGGGTGTGAATGAGAATGGTGAATACATACTTGGTCTCTATTGGTGAAAGTGTTTGAGGATTAGGAGGTGTATCACTGGGAGTGAGCGCTGAGGTCTCAGAAGACATGCCACTCTCAGTGTCTGCTCTCTCTTTCTGACTCCTGCTTTAGGATCAAGATGTAAGCTCTCAGCTGTTCCTACCACCATGCCTTTACTCTTCCATCACAAACTCAAACCCTCTGAAACTATAAGCCCAATTAAAGGCTTTATTTTGTTAAAATAATAAGAAACAACAAGAAAACCAAAAATAGATGAGAGCTGGAGAGTACAGTTCAGTTTGGTAGAGTGCATGCTTGCCCAGCATGCAGGAAGCCCTGGGTTCAAGGCCCAGAATAGTTTAAACTGGGTGTGACGGTCCATGCTGGGCTACACAAGAGCCTTTCTTTCAAAAGAAAAAAAAAAAAAGGCAGTGGTGACTCTCGCCTCTAATCCCAACACTTGGGAGGCAGAAGCAGGCAGATCTCTGAGTTTGAGGACAGCCTGGTCTACAGAACAGGCTCCAAAGCTACACAGAGAAAAACTTTAAAAAAAAAAAAAAAAAAAAAGCAGAGAGAGGGAGTGCCTCACCAGGCCATGAAAAGACAAAGACATAGAGGAAATTAAATGCACACTGCACAGGCAGATGAGACAGTAGAAAAGGGAAACTATGGAAAAGGACCAGTAGCTACAGGAGTTCAAGGGTATGAACAGCTGGAACACAAAGCATCTGGGGCACAACAGGAGACATAAGTCACCAGACATTTGTGACTAGCCTATACAATAAATAATACCAAGTGCAGACCACAAGGTAAGCTAAGCATGAGAGTGATGCCATTTGTAGACACAGTGATTATTAACGCTCAAATACACACACCACTGCAATGAAGGAGGTAATATAGTTGGTTATTTTTACTCTTTGCTCTTCGGGGGCCTGCCACCCAGCTCCCAAATAAATACATGGAGACTTATTCTTACTTATGAATGCCCCGCCTTAGCTTGGCTTGTTCCTAGCCAGCTTTTCTTAAATTGTCCTGTCTACCTTTAGCCTCTTGGCTTTTCACCTCTCTTTATTCTATATATCTTGCTTTCCTTCCTTCTCCGTGGCTGGCTGTGTGGCTGGCCCCTGGCATCCTTCTCTCATTCTTTTTTTGTTCCTCCCATCCTTCTTTTCTCTTCCTTAGATTTCTCCTCCCATTTATTCTTTCTGCATGTCAGCCCCACCTATTTCTCCCTCCTCCTAGCTATTGACCCTTCAGCTCTTTATTAGACCAATCAGGTGTTTTAGACAAAGTAACACAGCTTCACAGAGTTAAACAAATGCAACATAAAAGAATGCAACACGTCTTTGCATCATTAAACAAATATTCCACAGTATACACAACTGTATCACATCCTAAACTAATATTCCTCAACAAGGTAACACTCAAGGAGGTTGTGAACATACAGACAAGAAGTATATGGTAGCTTGCCAATCTTTCCCCTTAATTCCACTATGGACTTAAAACTGCTCTTTAAAAAAAAAAAAAATGAAATCTAGAAGCCAGGCATGTCTAGAGCTTGCCAGACGGTTCTGCAGGTCAAGATGCGTGCCAGTAAGAAGAAGCCTGAGAAGCCTGTGCTGAATCTCTGGGACTTACATGGTTAGAAGCAGAGAAGCAACTCCAGCCAACAGGAACAAGGGTGCCTACATGCGTGTGTGTGTGTATTTTATTTATATATATATATATATATATATATACATACATACATATATATATAAAATAAACAAGTTTTAAAAAGAAGCTTATGCATAAAATGAGTCCATATGATCGATCTAGAGTCCACATTGTAGGTGGATTGACTTGCTAAGCATGAAAGTCAAACTAAAGGATCCTAGTATACGTAAGGCCTTGGGTTTCATCCTCAAGGCTAGAGAGGCTAAAGTTGTTTGGTAAGTGGACTATTTAATTGACAAAGAGATCACCAGCAGTGACCTTACCAATAGGCTAGGAGCTACTTCAAGTATACTATCTGTAACTACAGGGCCATTCTCCTCACAGGGCTAGCTTGGCCACTGGACACTGCAGATATTCAAGTGCCAGGGACCTCTTCCTTTTCCCACTCTACCCAAGGACAAGGATGGATACTGCTAGCATTATCAGTTTCATTGCTGCTCTGCTCTTTGGCTTCCTTGCACAGACCAAGTCCTGAGATAACTCACTTTATTTTTAAAGACAACTAACTATTATTATATTATATTATATTATATTATATTATATTATATTATATTATATTATATTATATTATATTATATTATATTATATTATATGTATAGTTAGATGTCTTTAAACCAAGAAACTCAAAGATTCTAAGTTCCACTAAGCACTATGGTTGACCTGAGTCATCTTCAATTATCTCTACATGTCCCTCCAGAGATGGCACTTCCTCAGAGCCTCCAAATATGGCCAACAGCTCAGTCAAAACAGTTTCACTACTCTAATGGCTGGAATTCTGCTATTTCAAGGTTAGCCTAAACAAAACTCAGGTTCTTTGAAGCTATGAAGGAGGCTGGTTTCATGTCGAGAAGGCCCCAGTGCCTCGGTGCTTTTGTAGTCTGTAACTTGTGTCTTTAAAAGAAGCTATGTGGTGGTGGCAGAGTACGCCATTAATCCCAGAACTCAAGAGGCAGAAGCAGGCAGATCTCTGTGAGCTTGAAGTCAGCCTGATCTATTGACAGTCAAGGCTACATAATAAAACCCTGTTTGGAGAAAAATCGAAGGAGAGGAGGAGAGGGGATGGGATGGGAGAGAAGAGGGACTGGTAAGAGGACCCAGATTTAATTTCCAGCACCCACATGGTGTCCAACAATCCTCTCTAGGTCCATTTCTGCTGTGAAAGCTTTAAGACTTAACACTTGAGGGGCTGGAGAGATGGCTCAGCAGTTAAGAACACTGGCTGCTCTTCCAGAGGACCCAGGCTCAATTTCTAGCACCCACATGGCAGTTCACAACTGTCCAGTTCCAAGGGATCTGATACCTTTACACCAATGTACATAAAATAAATTTAAATAAAATTTTTTTTTAAAAAGACTCAATACTTGAGCCAGGTGATAGTGGCACAGGCCTTTAATCCCAGCACTTAGGAGGCAGAGGCTGGTGAATCACTGAGTTTGAGGCCAGCCTGGACTAAAGATCAAGGTCCAGGATGGCCAGATCTATACAGAGAAACCCTATCTCAGAGGAAAACAAAAAAAAAAAAAACAAAAAACACCCCAAAAAACAAAAACAAACAAAACAGACTTAATACTTGGTTTCCCTTCTATAAACATGGAACAAATTGACATATATCAAAGTACTTGACACACAGTCACTACTTTTTAAATGTCATTTTCTCACAAATAATCCCAGTCAAGTGCTGGAGAGACAGCTCACTAAGAGCACAGAGCTCTTCTGGAGCACCTGAGTTCAGATCCAAGCACCCGCACCAGGAGGCTTTCAAAAGCCAGTAGCTCAAACTCCAGAAGAGCAGGCATCTTCTTTTGGCCTCCACGAGCACCTGCACTCATGTGCATATATCCACCCACACTCAAACACACATACACATAATTAAAAGAAATAAACCATTTTTAGCTGGGTGGTGGTAGTACATGCTTTTAATTCCAGCATTAGGGAGGCAAAGGCAGGTGGATCTCTGTGAGTTCAAGACCAGCCTGGTCTACAGAATGAGTTCCAGGACAGCCTCGGCTACACAGGTAGGGGGAGCAGGGGCCCAAACTAAACCAAACCAAAAAAAAAAAAAAAAAGGAATTTTGTTTTGTTTTTCTTTCCTTTTTGTTTTTCAAGACAGGGTTTCTCTGTGTAACAGCAATGGCTGTTCTAGAAGTCACTCTGCAGACCAGGCTGGCCTCAGAGATCTGCCTGCCTCTGCCTCCCTGAGCACTGGGATTAAAGGAGTGAGCAACTACTGCCTGGCAAGAAATCTTTTAAAAACAATAAAAGTACCAGTCAAATTAGGGGGAAAATATTCTCATATACATGTTTAAAGACCTCCATGGTGACTTCCATACTGGCACAGTGACATCTGTCTAGTTTAATGGGTCTTGCTTTGGGAAGGAACGGTAGGAATGGAATTCAGGGCCTTATGCATTCTGGGGCAAGTGTTCTATCACTGAGCTACACCTAAGTACTTCCTAATTAAGCTTCCTAATGCACAAACTGCTGGGCCCCAGTCTCACAGTGTCAGTCAGTAGATAAAGGGAAGGCCCAGGAATCTGCATTTTAACATGTATTCAAATGATGCTGTTGCAGCTCAGAAGCTATACACTGAAAGCCTCAGATCCAAATTCATCAATAAACTGCCCTGTATCTACTCAGACTAGTCCCAGATATATATAAAATATTCAGATATTTGTTGACTGAGTGAAGAGTGAGGCAGTTTACTACACTGTTATCATACCAAAGAAAAAATTAGAAATCAATGTTCAAAATGAGGAGCTGGGCATAGTGACAGGCACTTGTACTCCCAGGCACTAGTTAGGCTGAGACAGGAGGGTCCCTGAGTCCAAGAGTTCAAGGCCAGCCTGAATAACATAGCAAGACCCCATCCCACTAAAAATAAAAAAGGAGAAGGGCAGAAATAAGAGAAAGATTAAGTAAATTACATAGTATACTAAATGGTCAACTATTAAGAAAGTATTAGTATTAGTAGAGAGAAGGAAAGAAACAAGCACATAGAGAACGGAGGAGCAACACAGATGATGCTGAGGTGGGGCTGATAGATGTATAAAGATATCACAGTGAATTCATTATCATATATTACTAGTATAAACTATTAACAAAGGTTGAAGAAGGAAAACCCAGTAAAATAATGTTACAGGCCAAACATGGTGGAGCACTCATTTAATCCCAGCACTCAGGAGGCAGAAACAGGCAGATGTCTGTGAGTGTGACACCAGCCTGGTCTACATAGCATGTTCCAGGCCAGTTAAGGCTACATTTTAAAAAATTAATAATAACAATGCTACAGAAACATAGTAAGTAAATGAAGAAAGGTAACAAAAAAGTTCTATGTGTATCTGAGCATACTATACTGATGTCTGAGGAACTGAAGGCCTTCAGAAAGAAAGAACAGTCCCTTCAAAGAGAGTCTCTGCCTGTCTTTGAAGGCTTCTAAGAATGAAAAGGACTGCTGATTTCACCACTATTTCTGAAGGGATCCAGTTTCATACTGGACACATTCTTACTACCTTGGAGAGCAGTGGCTTCATCAAAGAAGCTATTGAGTAGCTACAGAAGCTGGGAAGATGAGGTCATAGGACTAGAAGACTCAATGCCTATGTACGCCCCTTCTGTTTAATAGTAACTAATACTTCCTTACCATGTTTCTCACATGAAGAGGGAACAATCTTACTTTAAATCCATTACCAGAAATCTCTTCCTTCCCCCATTTATTTTGGAGACAGGATCTCACACTGCAGTCCAGGCAGTCCAGACTGGACTAGAACTCACTTGGTAGCCTGCATTGACCTTAAAATTTAGCAATTCTCACCAGGCATGGTGGCGCACACCTTTAATCCCAGCACTCGGGAGGCAGAGACAGGTGGATCTTTGTGAGTTCGAGGCCAGCCTGGTCTACAAGAGCTAGTTCCAGGACAGGAACCAACGCTACAGAGAAACCTTGTCTCAAAACAAACAAAACCAAAAAAAAAAAAAAACCAACCCCAAACCCTCAATTTAGGTGAGATTGATGAGACTGCAATATTAGATATGTACAATCTACCATCTTGATACACATGCCATTAATTTACTATTCAATAGCTTATATAATATGTATATTTATACAATATATATGTATTGTTTCTGTGTAAATCAACAAAAATGAGCAGTACACAAAGTTCCATTTGGCCAGAATGCAATACACTGTCCACAGTTATACAGCATAGGCATATACCTATGCATATATACAAATATAAACAAACACGAGGAGGAAAAGCATTCAAATGTCTTTAGTTGCAAAACATGCTTCACATTCAAGAATATCATTACTACAACTTAAGTACTTGCACAATACAAGGGACAGATTAAGATAAAGATTATTGGTTTACATGAAAAACAATTGTTTTCAGGTAATAAATTCTTTGAATTATACACACAAATGGGTTTTATGTATATACACACTATATTAAATGTATGTGTGTATACATTAATGGTATTATTTTTGAGCTGAGAATTATGAAAATTCAAGACAGTTGGTTGAAGTTTGTTTAGAAAATATTTCAAAGTTGATTTAGTATAAGAAACACTACATAATCAAGTAGCATATAATTAAGAAAGCTGTACATATCAAAAACATATATAGTACAATGTTAACCAAATAAAACAATGTGTCTGCAAGTTGGTTGGTACATTTCTCAAAACTTGTTTCATTTATTTTTTTTTTTATTCTTTTTTGTTTATTGGCGATAAACTCCAGTTTATTGGAGATAAAGCTCCACTTGCCGGTGACTGTGAGTGCTGGGATTAAAGCCACATGCCCCCACACCCAGTTCATAACTGGTGTGAGAAAGCAACTACTGAGAGGTTTCTATAGACCTGACGGAAAGATGTGCATAGTGCCATAGCTTACCTGCCACGGGAGGAACAGCACCACAAAAGCGCACGGTTGCAAATTCCCCATTAACTTCAACTCTTCTACCAATGACGTCTAACGGCACAACGTCACTCATTATAGGACAGCAGGAATCCAAAATACGAGATCTAGGGAGGAAAACATGACAAACTGACACGAGCTTAATAAGCAACAATTGTAGCTACGCTGGCCTCAAGAGCTTAAACATACAGCGAATGCTCCTGCCTCAATTGCTCCTGTGCTGGGATAACAGATGTAAGCCACCACACCCAGCCAAAGTTTCCTTACAAATTATTTCCCCCTTAGGAATTGAAGAATGGTTTACTATGTAATACAACTGCTACAAACACTTGAAGACCTGAGTTTAGATCCCCAGAAAAAGTCAAGTGTAACAGTGTGCACTATAATTCCAAAGCTGGGAAGAGGAGACGAGAGAATTCTTGAAGCTTGCTGGTTAGCCAGTTTTGACAACTGGTGAGCTCCAGGTTTAGTGATCAATCCTGTCTCAAAAGGAGAGTGATGGAATAAGAGACACCGAGTAAACTGCTAGCCTCCATGGGCACACGCGCGCACACACATACACACACGCACTAAAGAACAATAGTTAGGCTATTTAAATGTTGGTAACAGGCATGCCTAGCATTCACAAAGCAGAGTGGTTCATGCCTTTAATCCTAGCAGTCAGAGGCCAACCTGATATATATATGAGACCCTATCTGAGGAAAATAACAAAAAACTGAATAACTCAAATTTTAGGTGTGATAATAACATGGATACTATCCCTTAGTTTGCTTTTTCATTAAGGAAGGATCATGTAACCCAGGCTAGCCTCAAACTCACCATAATAGGCCTTAAACTCCTGATTCTCCTGCCTCCACCTCTCAAGTGCTAGCATTAGAGACATGACACTATGCCCAGCTTATTCTGGAGACAGGATCTCCCATACAGTATTAGCTAGTCTTGAAATCCTGATCCTCCTGCCCCAGCTCCCAAAATGCTGAAATTACAAATATATGTTATGCCCAGCTTAGCTATTAACTTCTTTCAAATTTTGATCTTTTGGAAATAAACACTGAAATATTTAGAGTTTCAAAAGCAATGCTTTAGATATACTAGTAGCAAGCCAGGCAATCCATACAATGAAATAGGGAGAGTGACCAGAAGGTTGTGGATTTTATTAAGTTTAGAATCAACATTTGGGAAAATAACTAGACAGAAATGAAAACTAGGATTCTTGGTTGATTTTTGCCTTGGGTAGATAGTGGTACTCTAAGGCACTGCAACTTCTAAGACAAATGTAAAAGACCCTGTACTACAATGGAATCTTCAGCAATGAAAAGCAAAAGAAGTCATCACAGAGCCCAACACATGGTAAGTAAAAGCAGCATAGACAATTTGAGGAGACTGAGCAGGTACTAGGAACCAGCCTGAGCAACTCACGCTGTAGGAAACAGGTACACAGATAGGCCAAGGCAGAGCCCTGAGGCAAAGTTGTAGTCCCTGAGTAAGGTGCCAGTAGAACTCCATTTCTAGAATTCCACAAGCTGGAGAGCGAGGAGCTATCTTCCCAGAAACTCACAGAGTTCAGGGGCAGATTATATAGAGATAGACGCCCCAGCCAAACCCACCAGAAACCACTCTCCTGCCATCAGGAACTCCCGAAGGTCTCGTGCTCAGAGCAGCTGTAGGCACTCAGATCAGGGGATTACAAGAAATTCAGGATCTGGGGTCTCACTGCTCCCAACACGTCTCAGCCCACAATTACTGTAAATACAATAAACCTGCAAGTCACAAGGCAAAGTCCTGGCAAACCTACAAGCCTGTAATGTCACCTGCTCTGGAGCCTGAGGTAGAAGAATCAAACTCTCAAGGCCAGCACAGACAAGTCCCATCAGTCTGGGACTGCTGAACCAAAGGGAATAGCCATTTAAAAACTGATAGCTAATATCAAATGTCCTTTTATAATGATTGTTCCAAAATATATAGTCCTATCAGGAATATGAACCCTTGTATCCTAAACAATCTTGCCTTTACAGAACATCCACAAACTTTTAGCAATCTATGTTTTTTGTTTGTTTATGGTGGGATCAAATCCAGGATGTGAGGCATGCTAAGCAAGGGTTCTACCACTGAGTGAGATCTGTAAAACATGTATTTTAACTTATATCCAGTTATAAAAAAAAATGAGCATCTATTCTTAAATTTACTTTTCTCTAGTCTTCCATAGCTTGCTCTCCCTTCCTTCTGACTTACTGTTTTAACTAACTTTCTCTTTATTTTTTTGTGCGGTCGTTCCCACCCCCACCTTCCCTCCTAGACAGGGCTTCTCTGTGTGGTTTACGTTGTAAATCCCAAGCCATCTACTGTTACATACCAATAACTCCAAATAACTTCATTAAACAATTGAGAGTGCCTATTAAAAGCCAGATACTGTTCTAGGTACTAAGTGCACAAGAGAAAAGTACCTGCCCTCCAGAAACTTCTATTCTTGTGAGAAACACAATAAACCAGACAACTGGGTAAATCACGTGGTACGAATATAGCAATAAACACAAGGACAAGAAACACAGTGGCAGCCAGGTGGTGGAGGCACACGCCTTTGATCCCAGCACTCAGGAGGCTGAGGCAGATGGATTTCTGAGTTCGAGGCCAGCCTGGTCTACAGAGTGAGCTCCAGGCCAGGCTTCAAAGCTACAGAGAAACTCTGTGTCAAAAAAAAAAAAAAAACCCAATAACAAAAACCAACAAAAAAGCAGCACAGTGGCTCGGCTGAAGGTGGAGAAAGTTGGCTAAGGAAGGCAGTATTCCAAAACACAGACGTAGAGGTCGGAATCGCAGGACCACACAGAAGACCACACAAGCAAAGAACAGCAAACCCAAGGATCCTAGAAACTAGGATGTATCTGAGGCCAGATAACGGGCAATCAGGTAGATATTAAACAACAGATCAGAGATGACGCAGGGCCAGCTCACTTAGGACTCTGGAGGGGTCTTGTCCTAAGACTTGTCTGCTGAGTAAAACAGCAGTGTTTAGCAGATTTTTTTTTTTTAAGGAAAGAGATTATCTTACTTTCCTAAAAAGATTCCTTTAGTTTCTGTGATGCAAACTGACTAGAAGAAAACACTGTGATTAGTAGTTGGCGAGCAGTAATCCTGTGAGTGCTGCAGTTTTTAACAGGTAATGTTCTAAGAAAAGGTCTGAAGATCTGGACTCTTTTGACCATCTGAGCATGTGCTATTATGAACTATGAAAATGCTGAGTCAGAATGACTGCAAAGATTCGGGTCCAGACAAACGTCTCTGCCGTGTCTGTGCTCTGTGTGCTGGCACCCAGTTTGCGAGCTTCGGGCAAGGGGCTGGAGGTTAAAATACACAGACACACAGAGAGAGAGAGAGTGACACGGGTCATCCTTGAATTGCCCAAGAATGCCCCCTTTATTGTGTTCAGGGGCAAATTGTATAGAGATAGCCACGCCCCAGCCAAACCCACCAGAAACCACTCTCCTGCCATCAGGAACTCCAGAAGGTCTCGTGCTCAGAGCAGCTGTAGGCACTCAGATCAGGGGATCACAAGAAATTCAGGATCTGGGGTCTCACTGCTCCCAACACGTCTCAGCCCATAATTACTGTAAATACAATAAACCTGCAAGTCACAAGGCAAAGTCCTGGCAGACCTACAAGCCTGTAATGTCACCTGCTCTGGAGCCTGAGGTAGAAGAATCAAACACTCAAGGCCAGCACAGACAAGACCCAACCAGGGCTGGGTGTAGCTCAGGGGTAAAATACTAGCCTAGTGTAAGGGAGGCCCCAGAACAGAAAAAAAAAAATTAAAAATTAAAAAGAAAATGAAGAGGAGGAGAAGAAAATGTACTAGTTCTAGCACCAGGTTGCTTCCTGTGGTCTCCTTTTCCAGAAGCAAGTAACCACAGCCAGAGCAGGTTTCTCCTTCAACAGCAAAAGAAGCAGACTTCCAAAGAAACGAATTCTTTTGCACTATGCACCAATTATGAACAAATAAAAAAGTTTTCCGCATGCAGCAACAACAAGACACCACATTCTCAATGATGCACTGAAAATGGATCTCATTGCTAGATGAGATGAATGGAGACAGCATCCAATAAATACGGAGGAAATGGCCTGCCGTGACTGCCTCCTGGGACTTGAGGGCCACTGTGAAGAACATTCTTCTCATCAGGGCAAATTTTTAGCAGTAATCTACCTTTCTAAATATTTTTATAGACCCCCCAATAAAATATGTTTTATAAAACTGTTGGCACTGAGGTGTGATGACCCGTATCTTTAATCCCAGCACCCTGGAGGCAGCGACAGGAGGATCTCTGTGAGGTCCAGGTCAACCTGGTCCTACACACTGAGCTTCAAGACAAATCCTGTCTCAAAAAACCAAACCAAAACAAACAAAATTTCCAGGTAGTATACTGTGTTTGCAACAGCACCCCTAACAGTCACACATAGAAAATTAAAACTAAGAAGACATAGAGAGTAGGCCACATCTGCGGGCAGTGGGCTTGGCTAAGGGTCACACCAGGTGACAGCTGCGTCTCCCTTTATCTGCTCTGTCTTCAGCATTTGTAAACCCTTTTGCTTCAATAAGCCTATTTCTTTGGTGATGACTACACCACAAGCTAATTTCGATTCAACAATTCACATCAGAGTCCCCAGACGGTAGCAAAGTCTTTGTAAACATTTTATTCCCAGGGTGTGGCGGCTCACGCACGTAATCTCGGCACTCGGGAGGCTGAGGCTGGGCGTTTGCCACGAGTTCAAAGTCATCCTGGACTAAAATATGAGCTTCACATCCAGCAACAAACCCTAGTTTTAAAAATTCGTTAATTCATTCATTGCGAGCATGGTGGCTCGTCCACGTAATCCCAGAAACAGGGAGGCTAAAAGCACAAGGGCCTGACGCTAGTTCGAAGCCAGCCTCAGATATATAGTGGACCCAAGACGGCCTTAGGCTACAGAATGAGACTGTCTCTCAAAAAAAAGGGGGGGGGGGTGGCGCATACATTTAATCCCAGCACTCGGGAGACAGAGGCAGGTGGATATCTGTGAGTTCGAGGCCAGCCTGGTCTACAGAGCGAGTTCTAGGACAGGCTCCAAAGCTACAGAGAAACCGTCGGGGGTGGGGGCGGGTGAATCTGAATACGGCCCACTGCCCCGCACCCACCGAAAAACCCGCAGCCCCCCAGAACCGTCAATAACAGAAGCCACTCTCCTCCACAGTGGCAGCCAGTCAGGGCGTCGGGTGCCTGGCGGCATCACCTCAGCCCAGCACCTAGAAGACGGTGACAGAGCGAGGGGCGCTTGGCGCAGGCGCACTAGCCTTCCGCCGGCTCAGCCCAGAACGCGGTCCCCCCCCCCCGACCCGAGAGAAGGCTCGGAGCGGAAGGAACGCTGAGCCCCCTTAGGCTGAAACGGCGTTCCCGTTAGCAACTCGCCACCTCAGCTCCACGAGCTGAAAAAGCTCACCTGCCTCAGCCCGTGGGTCTGCACCGCGAGCCCCTCCCGGTGCCTCGGCCACGAAGTTTCCGGCTCTGGGCGGAAGCGCTTAGAGACCGGAAGTCCCACATCCGCAGAGGAAGTGATGGCGGGAAACCAGTTTTAACTCGCCCAAACTCCAACTTTATCCTGGTGAGGTGCTGTTCAGGTGGACGAAACCCCGGACAAAGGGACCAACATAATTTCCCGTACTGTAGCTGATCCAGGACAGTCAAAACGAGTGCTAAAAGTTCATAGCTGGGCGTGGTGGCTCACGCCTACTACAATCAACACTCAGTAGATGAGGCAGGAGAGTTGAGGCCAATTCTGGGTGGGGGTAGCCTTAGCTGCATAGCAAGACCCTGTCTAAAATACAAAAATGTTTCATGATTTGGGGGAGTCTGCCACAGTAGGGAGTTCATGTGGAGAAAAGTGTAGTGTTGATCCCTCCAGAACTGGAAAGAAAAGGTTAAGCAGCTAAGGCATGAGGCAGAATCAAGAGTAAATGCAATGTTTTAAACTGAAAAGCCATCACTACAAACAAGTAGTCCCTATGAATCGGGTTGTTTTTTTTTTTTTTTTAAAGACGTTAAAACCAAATAAAATGAAAACCAAATAAGATGCTATGCACATAATCATGGCCTCTCACAGACTTAGGCTCAGTATACCTGGGGCTGGGCAGGAGCCGAGTGGAAGAGGATGTCCTCTTTTCTAATCGGTGCTGCCTTTTGAGCTATCGCTATCGTAACCAGCAACTGCAACTCCGCGGCTACCAACTCTTCCAAAACTCTTCCAAAGGGAATGTACCAAAATCTCTGTCCTTCTAAAGAACTCAAGATTTGAAAGGTTGGCGTAGAATCCTGCTTCCCAGAGAAGCTGAATAGCAAGCAGCTCATCTAGCTCAAAGCCTCCTCACATCTCCCAAGAAGTTCTTGTCTCCCCGCCCCTCCTTAAAAACCCTTCTCCTTACACAGAAAAATCCTGTCTCTAAAAGAACAAACAAAAAAATCCCTTCTCTGCCTGGCTCCTCCCTACAGCTTCCTGTTGGCTAGTTACTGACTCAGCCTCCTGACTGCAGGTAAATTTTATTCAGTCAAACACATCTTTGCAGCATTAAGCAAATGTTCCAGAGCATAAACAAAAGTAACACACCTGAAAATAATATTCTATAACAGAAGAGCTCTGGCTTTGCAGGATCTAAGACAAATCAGTTTGATCAGTAACACTACAAAAAACAATAATGAAAGAAAGCTGTAACCAACCAAAGGAAAACGATGTAACTTTCTGGCAGATGGCATGCATGACAAACCTATTTTATTGCTCAGCATCAAGAAATATCCTGTAGTGAATCTGCTGTAACTGATAACTAAAGATAAAACGAGCTTTCCTGTTTGAAATCCTTTCAGTAGGACTAGAACATCCCACTCTTGTCTCAATTCTCCAATAGAAATATAGACCTTCAGATAAGAGGTTTCAGGGATAACACTCCACTAAGGTGGTGGTGCCGTTTGCCCTGAGACAAGGACTCATGTATCCTAGGCTGGCTTTAAAGTCATATAGTGAAGATTGGCTTTGAACTCTGGAATATCTTGCCTCTATCTCCCAAGTGCTAAAAATCACAAGCTTACACCACATTTATTTTATCTCCACATTTATTTTAACTTCATACTTTTCAAGGAATTGTTGATACAAAACATCTGCTCAAAAAGAGATAAAGAGATTATTCTGAGCCAAATTTAAGAGACTTTGTCCCAGAAACACTGAGTTTACCCTGAATGACATGTTACCATGGAAGAAATCTCTTCAATCACTTGAATTTTTAGTCTCTCTCTCTCTCTCTCTCTCTCTCTCTCTCTCTCTCTCTCTCTCTCTCTCTCTCTCTCTCTCACACACACACACACACACACACAGAGTCATACATAAGAACACTTTCAAAATGAATTGGGAACACAGAGTAGCAGATTACAGCAAAAATGGGTCAATCATTTCACTTTCAGAAGTCCTGTGATTTTAGCTTTAGGGTTGGTAGAAGCTAGTGGTCTGCTAAGCTTAACAATGCATTCCAAATACTGACCTAACAGTCACCAAGATGTTAAATCAAATTGGCATCAAACTCATGATAATCTCTCTGCTTCCACCTCCCAAGTGATAGAATTATAGCCGTGAGCCACCACACCCAGCCAAAATTGGACTTTTAGTTACCATTTGCAAATGTTTCTTAAAATTGTGCACATTTAAGTATACTTCTCAACTGAACATGAACAAATATTGGCTGTTTGACACCACAAAAGGCACCACAAAGATCTACTACTAAAAAAAAAAATAGGATAAATTTAGAGGAATTTTAGATAGCCTTACAAGGGGTTGGGCAGCATTGAAAATTTGCTTAAATGTCTTTCTTCCCTTTGACTTCTCCCATAGAAGGGTGTAACAAGGGTAGCTTCAAGAGATTATAAACCCCTTCTAGGCATTCATTTATGATAAGCTTGATTCCTCATAACATTTTGTCCCAAAATATTTTGAGATTGTTTGGTATTTGGCTCTTGTCTGTTTGTTTATTGTTATCTCAATAGGGTAACTGGTGTTATTCACACTGTCTTTTGAAGATTTCCCCCAAAGTTTCTCTGGTACTTGTGAAAGGAGGCTCTCCGTCTCTCCCTGTAGAGCTCTTCTTGCCTGTTTTATAGGAATAGAAAGACGATTGGAGGTTTTCCATATGTCATGTTCAAGATCATTGCTCTTGTAAAAGAAGGAAGCCTGGTGTGCTCCCAAAAGTCATGTCCCAATAAATGAATGGGATGCTGTACACCTTCAGAAAGTATAATATCCCAAACTTTAAAAAATATATGTAAGCTTGGGAGAGAAAAGGAAAAGGGTAGAGAAAATCCTTTAAAAAAATCAAGTTAGGGGGCTGGAGAGATGGCTCAGAGGTTAAGGGCACTGACTGCTCTTCCTGAGGTCCTGAGTTCAATTCCCAGCAACCATATGGTGGCTCACAACCATCTGTAATGAGATCTGGTGCCCTCTCTGGTGAGTAGGCATATATGAAGACAGAACACTGTATACATAATAAATAAAAATATTTTTTAAAAAAATCAAGTTAAAAAAGTATAACAAGCCATGTAAAGATGGAAAATACACAGAGAGTCTGGATTATGTATATTATTGTGTTGTTTTTAGATTTTTTTGACTGTTAATGAGCAAATAACTGCTGAGAAACCTTCAATTATGAAAACTGTTACATTAAACCAATGCATATGTTTTTAAAATATCTTGACTTCAAATTTTAAGTCAAAATATATGTTACTTTTGGAAGGAGGTTCTGCTTTTATTTCCAAAAGAAATGAGAGGCTGTGGATTCATTCTGAGTTAAGAAAAATCCGGTTTGATGGAGGAAGAACACTCCCCCCCCCCCCCGAAAATCTCCCATGGGAGTAGATTACCTAGATGATCCAACATCTCAGAGTGTCTCTGTTGCAGTTTCCTCTGCGGTCTACATCCAGAACAGTTTCAAGGTTGCTGGCTGAGATGATTGAGCCTCACAGAATACTCCAGTCAGGACTTGACCATAATCCTGAATTTTCTAAGGGTCCTTCAAAGATTACCAGTGGCCCCAATCAGCAAGAAGTAGTCTAGAGGACTACTCCCACATTCCCAAAAATAAATTATGAATGTCTGTCATCATTTAGGGGGTTAGTTACAAGTTGTTATGGATAATGGTCAGGAAAAAAGACAAACAAAGAAGTTAAATTCAAAGATCTCCTTCTAAAGGAAAAAATGGGGATAGAATACATAAATGATAGGATAAAGGGTTGATTACTGAATCTGTTATAATCCAAAAAACAACTATTAATCTTACATATTTTATATCGTTGGGCTAGAAGTCCAAACATCAGGGAGGAGTTGCTCCAGACATCACTCACACAACCACAATTGATACAAAAGCAAGAGGATTTTTATTCTGTCATGACAGGGCCCTTTAGGTTCGGGATATGAAGGACATCCAATAGCTGTTATAGCCCATCTTTTAAAGAAAAAAGCCACAGACACAAGTGGGGGGGAACCCAAGGGTTGTTTTCCAACTAATTGGATTGGCTTATTTAAAGGATTACTAGCAGTGACTGGTCTGTGCCAGGGCAGGAGAATAGCCGCATGATCAGGTGAGGTAAGGAGGAGCATCTGTGGATCATCCTGACCTTGTTCCAGTGACTGAATCAATACATCAGGAACTGAGTCAACATCTGTGGTTTGTCTTTGCCTCAATTTCCAGAACGGAGTTATGTTAGAAGATTATTCACAAGGACACAGGAGGATGAGCAGTCCAGCATGTGTGTGTGTGGGCGACTGTACTGTCCTGTTTCCAAATGCTGAGAGGCTTCAGAAAATGTCTTTAGAGCTGAGAGGCCTCAGAAATGCATTTAGAGTCTTTCGATATTTGTATGGATTTCGGCTTATTGATACAAATTTAAAGCTAATTTTGTGACTGTATGTATATTTCTACTTTTGTTTAGGCTATTATGTTTATGCAAGTCATTTAAAATATATAATTAAGAAATACAGATTAATAGTCATCCTTAATAGTCAAACATATAGTCATGTTAAGTATTTTACAGGTTTTTTTTTTTTTTTTTTTTTTTTGTAGCTTTGGTACCTGTCCTAGAACAAGATTGCCTTTATTACAAACTTCTTCAAAGGAGTTTGTTTTCTTAATGGCAAAAGCTAGCGATATGGGCAAAGAAACTGTCCTAACCTCAATTGCTGACTGTTACTATCCAAATTGGACCAATAGGATGCAAGAAAGGTAACTGCTGAACTTTTCCAAGACAGAGAGGGCAGTCCTTCAAAATTCCCTGCCTCACAGGAAAGTCTGTCAGACACGCTAGGCCTGTAGGCCAGAATTGGATGCCCCAATGTTGCAGAGGATCTTTGGGTGAATGTACAGGCAGTTTGAGGTCCCTGCCATTAGGTAACATTTTACGCTTCTGTGGTCTTTGGTAGAGTTGAAGACTAGTTATAGTTTTCCTTTTTCTTTTCTCTTCTTCTTTTTTTTCAAGACAGGGTTTCTCTGTGTATCTTTGGCTGTCCTGGAAAC